CCCGAAGTATGCATCGCCTTGATTGTCGATTGTCGTGATGCTATACAAAGCCTTGTCCGCCCTCGGCAAAGGGGCCAAGATATTTCCAGTGTCTTTTCCCAGCTTTCTATCTCATGATGCTCCTCTGGTAAGCAAGTACCTTATACCAGAGAGGGCCTTAGGGATTGATTGGATCGATTACCATATTCAATCCTGAAGGACGCAGCAGTGTACGGCTTTGCATAACGATCACTACGGCCTGTGAGGACGATGTCGGGTGAATACCTACCTGCATTGCGACGAGCAACCAAGACAGCACGGTATTTCACGGTTGTCACTTCCCTCCCAGCCGTTGATGTGTCAGAAACACCCCGTTGGACTGTGGCTCAGGAATGTGCCTGTCACTCGGGCTTCCAGGTCTTCGGTCGCGCGGATGGCGACATTGGAATGCGATCAATAATGCTTCAACTAGCAAGTGGTCTCGGGTCCTTGCATATGCACCAATCCAACGGAAGGCCCGATGATAGGCGCCTGAGAATACACGGTCCTCGTATCCGAGAGATCGGGAAACATCGCAGGCACGCATGAATGTCGCACAGGACTCGGTTTGCAAGGCTGAAAATATACGAGTGTTTCACAGGTTTTGCTCACCTACGACCTTCCCACTTGTAGGCTTGCCCAGCTTTGATCTCGACAATGAGACATCGAAAACGGGGTTTTCCGCTGTTGGGGCCTTGGATCCAAAAGCATACGCCTTGAAACTCTCAGGAAGGTTGGACGAGTTCTGAGGTGAACTACGGCTCTGAGTAACAGGAGATCCCACATTTTCAACCTGGCTGTCAAACCCCAGACAAGTCGCGATGGTACCAACGGCCAATTGTGGCGGGCATCCCGTTGCCGTTGTTATTTATACACACTCTTGGACCGACTCATCCACATATATCCTGCAACAAAAGCTGACAGGGGAGTGGGATGCAGGATGCTTGCGTCTGTCCATCCTGTGGTGATGGACGAGGGTGCAGTATTCTTGTTCCTGCGGGCTTTTGTGCAACCGATCTCGCTGCTACAGTCAGTGCCATTGATCCGAGAGCGGAAGAGGGTGGCAGCGTATCTTGGGGTCACGCGACGTCCCTCCTTCTTCCTGTGGTGGAAATAATATTTTCCCATTCCTTGGATATATTTGGGGAACAACCGTAGCCTATCATGCTCTTGCGAGGGCGGTCAGCTCGGGGTTTGCAGGCCAAAAGTGGTGCACCGGGTTGTACGGATCCTGCCTGTGAGTGAGTTAGGCATGAAGACGGTGACGGGAGAATCCGTCCAAACCACAGCATGATCTTGCTGACCCGGCCGGACTGAAGTGACGACATCCTTTGATGGTTTTCCTATACCAGGATCGATTCCCTCGAAACAATGATAAGGGTCGATATCACACGTGGTGCTTTGTTCATTCCTCATAGCACTGGTATGTGGTTGTTCTCACATGCCATCCCATCCAGCCAAGCTCCACAGATACGAGTACGCGTGGGAAACACGAGTGCTTGATTGGGCCGAGGGGTGAATATCTTAGATATCAAGGCAATGCTGTTACGAGTACTCCAATCTCGTGGCGAGCAACTAGACAAGCCATGTTTCTCGTGGTCACAACGACGGTGCCTAACATAGTAACGGATAAGCCACACTGCGAGGCTAAACCGCATGGAGAATTGCGACGGGTTCCTCCCCCTTTTTTTGGGAGGGGGAGGCGGTGGGCGTGGGTGGCGCAGCCACTGGCGATTGGATAGGCATCGTACCTCGGGCCCCAGGCACCCAGGCACAATTTAGCAGGGGTGGGTGGCACTTTCCTGTTCCTTTTTCCAAGTATTCAAATGCTGTGCAGATCTGAAGGTGAATGCAGGGTACCTGAAAATTGGTGGTGATTTTCGGCTCAATCCAGGTACCTCTTCTCTCACTTTGACGTCACACAAGACTCACCACCCAGATGGACACTGCATCCCTCTCTCAACTTTGACTGTTAAAACTCAATAGGTGTTGTTACCATCAACAACATCCGCCTTGGAGAATGGAATGTGGTATGACGGACTGCCGGTTTTAGAAGCCATGATGGCCTGGCCTGGCCTGGGGTTAAGACGTTAGGTAGCCAAGTAGCTTCCCAGGTCCTTGATTCTGGGCTCCTGGGCTTTTAGGCTCCTGATTCCTGATTCCTACAAAGTCATTTTTAGTCCAAAACCTGAGCTGTGCCGGGCTGCCACCGTCCAACTACCTTGATTCTAGCCCTTGTCCTGCCCTACCCTGCCCAAAACCTTGCTCGGTGCTCACGCATAGCCTAGAGGGACTGATTTTTTAGGTGATTCTTAGGTGATTTAGGCGATTTAGGTCATGGGCGTCTTCTCGCAGTATAGCTCGCTTCACAAACAAAGCAATACCAAGACACCCGGTCTGCAGCCAACCTTGGAACCATCACCACCATCAGCCATCGGCGTCCATTCTGGTGTCCATCTGCACTCCATCTGGCACTCATATCTGCCTGTCGTCCACCCTTGACCCAACATCATCTCCATTCTCGTTCAACAAGACTTCCACTCTTGCTGTAATTTTTTTTTCTCACTTTGTCCTCCTCTGCAAAGCAGCTCTGCGCCTGCTCCTGCATTTCCGTTCGTTCTCAACCCGTCTGTCATCGGGGAATCTTGACGTTGTCGATCTCCTCTGGTGTCTTCGCTAGTATCCTGCATCTGACGGTCATTCACTCTGATACACCGCCATAACTCTCCCGCCTTGTCTTTTTTTTCTGTCTCTATTACTTGGGACTTTTGTTCTACATATCTGATCCTTATAATTTCTGTTCCTCCTCTGTGAAGTTGTAAGCGCCAGTTGACACCATGACCAAATTAAGAAAGTCACCTCCCCCCGCCTACCCAGGCAAACCGACAACCACGCAAGGCTCTGCTGGCTCTCTCCAGATGGCTGTCCCCTATGAGAATCTGCCACAAGACGCGCAGCCGCCCGTGAGTGTCAGCACGGCCGTGTTACCAAGCTCCTACAATGATCCTCTACCTGACACGAACCCATTCTCCCCCAACTTCAGACCTGGGCCAGCTGCGACCGCCACGCTACAAACATCACCTTTCTCTCCAGTCTCGCCGATCGCCGAGGCCAGTCCTATTGAGCACTCCTCCCAAGCGACCATCCAGGCTCCCAAGCCACAGAGACCTCACGGCGACCAGCAAAGATCAGTCGATCTGCGCCGACTCGATGGAAAGCCATACCCCGGATCCAATTCTGCGGCGGAGAAGGAAAAACCAAAGGTCGTCAAGGTCGCGAAGGACATGCACGATGGCGCACTTCCACCAGTGTACAGGCGTCAAGCGTCTGATCCTGTCAACCCCACGGAGGCTCCAAATGCTCCGTCTACCTCACCCAGGTGTGGGAGATGCGGCAACCCAAATGGTCAAAGCAATGGACGCGGGCACGGCTGCAATCAGTGCGGAAAACGCAGGTCCCACGCAGCAACATCAACCCCTCCGACTGTCACCCCGGCGCCCATTCCCGCCGCGCACGCCCGGACTGTTTCTGAGGGACAGCTGTCTCACAACTCATCCAGGCTCTCGGAAAGCACAGCAGGCCCTTCAAGCTCACCAGGGTCGTCGACACACTCGCGGTGCTGCACAAAGTGTGGAAGATACAAGCGGCCTGGCATGGCACATGATTCGCCTGACCAGCTCCGTTCCAATGGATTGGGTCCTGCAACCGCACCCGTGCCTATGGCAAATCACCCTGCAATGAGGCCTCGTCTTTCGATTCAACCCAATGCCCCCGGAAACAACCTGGCCTATCCCAGAATTGACGTCATCCCTCCGTCGGCGTCGACGTACAGGGCATCCAACTCCCACCTTTCGACTTACCGAGACGACTCCCCCCTTGTGGCTAAAGCCCACAAGACCGAGTTCAAGTTGTTCCGCAACTCTTCTCTCGCACGATCGCTGTCTCGACGTCTTAGCAAGAAAGACAAGACAGCCGCATCATCAGCAGCCGCCCCACTTCCAAGTCAGCAACTCGCACGCCAGAGTGGGGAACAGAGCGCAGGCACCTTGATTAACATGATCAGTACCGCCATGCAAGGACCCGGCAGCGAGCGAGACGCCCACTACACCAAGCTTTCCACGGGCACCGACCCGACAGATCGTCCTCAGACTCCGTTTTCGTTTGTCGGTGGTAAGGACGAGGAAGACGCCTTCGAGATGGTTGACCTTCGGGATCGAGCCTCGATCTACAGCCAGGACAGTCTGAAAGAAGGAGCCAAGCCTCAGATCAATGTGACGCAAGTGGACAGCGAGTTTCAGGCCGGCGTTCCCGACCACATTGACGTGGTTCCGCGCTCCAAGGCAGTGGAACTCGAAGGGCAGCACTTGTCCGTGAACAACGGGGAAAACAAACCCCCGATCACGCGGTTCAAGAGTTTAAGACAGGGGGTCTCCAGGATGGGCAGTGTCAGCCGCACGACCAGTCTGAAGAGACTCGGCAGTCTGAAGACTGTACATCACGCTTGGTATGTGGAGGGAACTGATGGAAATAATGAGAATATTGTGCCTGTCTTCTAGAGTCGGAGTCGGGAATATGGTTTGGTACTTTTAGCATTCATGATGTGAAGGAATTTATGATGATTTCTGGCGATGATACCACTTGAGCCTACATACCTGATATGTCTAGCATAGAGAATTAATGCAGTACTTCATCTTCTCTGCGAATGTAATACCCGTTGAAATCGTCTTGTATTAAACTGTGCAATTTGGAGGTCTCAGCCTTGTGCAGCCTCGTGCGGTGATGTCAGCGCCACTGTTCAGTCGGACTTCAGATGCGCTACTCCCACCTGCGGCTACTCGTACATTCTCTCAGCTTTTCTACCCCTCGCGGTCTAGCCAGGTCCATTCTTGCTCACGGTTCCATTACCATTCAATCTGGCAGCATTTGCTCTGCAACACGCCCTGCGCCGTCTGGAGGAAGAGCGACAAGCACGAGCAGGCAACATGGGCGACCTCCAATTCGCGAAGCAGTTTCTGACATCGCTGGACAACAAGCCGAACAAATACCAGCCCGACCATGTCTTTGATCCGACGACGTTTCAAATGCGGTTGCCGGTAAGTCTTGCGCACGCCATTTTCTGTTGTCACGGCTGGGGGCGTACGTACAAGTGTGACCCGGCCACGAGAAGGCGGGCGGGTGGGCGGGCGATGAATGAGGACGAACGAATACAGATCGCCTGTTGGAGGATGACGTTGTTCCTGGACCGTGCTAACAAAGATATTTTTGTTTACGAGCAGTATACCCTGCCCAAGCTCTCAACACCACCACACCCGCCGCCGCCTAAATCAGTCGCTGTCCCCGAACCACCGCCTGGCTCCCAACCCCCGACACCCACCATCACCCTGATCCTCAAATCTGCGCGCAATCCCAACATGACCCTGGTGATTCCGTCGACGCCGCCCACGACGGCGACAATCCAAGTTCTCAAGGAACGTATCCAAACGTACCTAGGAGGGCCCAGCGTGGTGAATCTGGATAAGATCAAGTTACTCTTGAACAAGAAGCCCATACCACCGAGTAAACGAACCGTTGCAGAGGCGCTGGAAGGGTCCGGGTTGACTGCAGGGTCCGATGTGGAGATTGGTGTCATGATCATGGGCGGCGCTCCCGACCCGCCTCAGAGTCACATCACAGCATCGCTACACGAGACCATAACGGATGCACTGGAGGCAGCGGCAGGGACAGGTGCTGCGCAGACGGGAGTCAAAAGAGAAGATGCACAAGGCACGCCCATGGAAGTTGTACTGACGTCGGGGACGAGTGTATTAGAGTCAAAGGAGTTTTGGGATGATTTACAAAGGTTTTTGGAGCAGCGGATAGGCAAGTCCGACGAGGCCGGGAGGATAAAGGGGATCTTTGAACGGGCGTGGAGGAGTTCAACGGCGAAGCCTTGATCGTGGTATGGTCGCGGGAGAACGAACGAAGGAACGAACGAACGACTGGTTCCGTTCCGAGTCGATCGTTCCTTATCGAGAGGGAGAGATATGTCGGTCATGGCCACGGGGCATGGTGAAGAGAAAAGACAAACACTGACCTACGTTACATACATGATATGGTGGATTGTGAATTTCCTGTCTAGCGCTTACTTGCTGCACATCGAGAGAATCGAGCAATGTTGATATTTTATCGGCAGGACAGGACGGGCCTATCGTCAGAGAAGAGGACATACACTTTGCACATCTAAGCATTTTGCAAAAAGGGGAGAGTGACAATAATTACATGTTCCGTACGTGATACAGATCCTCTGCGTCCCTGTCCCCGTCCCCGTCCCTGTTCACACACGAGGAATCCAGCAAGCAACCTCCTTTCTTGTCCGGTCCCGTCCTGTCGTGTCCCTCCCCAGCATCTAAGTTCGTTTTTCTCTGCAGCTGTCCTCTCTGCGATGATATATTCCACAAGGATAAACCGTCCCGCGCGCGTTACGTGCAGTTAGCTATCTAGATATCTATCTTAGATACTGTACCGAACACGAACTCGACAAGGGGTTATATCATATTACCCTGGTCCATGGCTGGCATGTAGGTATTGACGAGTATGTGACAGGGAAATTTACCGAGGGCGGTCAGGCTCCGGGGTGGTGAATACATAATATCTAATATGTAATATGTATCGGTCCGTGGTGGTGGTGGTGGTGGTGGTTTTTTTTTTTTCTTATATTGGTCTCTTGTCAACCAAGAGGGAAAAAAAACAATTGATTTGGTGGTTCTGTTTAATTCATTCCATGGTCCGAGTGCGTTAGGGCATGTACAATGTACCTTATAGCTACAATGACATAGTTATATCTAACTATATGATTACGGTCTATTCAGCTTGTCGCTGGCTGAGCATCTACGGGCGAAATCGAGAGAATACCACCGTGAAAAGCCTTCCTCCCTCCATCCCAACCTAACCCAAGCCAACTCTCCCCCTCAACAGCCAGGCACTGCTGAGGTTTCTGACCGTGCCTACGAGCACCATCATCCATTGACATGCGTATAAGTCTGCTGCCAGGGAATACTGCCGTGCTGAAAGTTCCACTCGGTGGAGGTGTTGTACCGCCACCAAAAGTCGAGGTGCTCGGCATACCCCAGCGCGGAGATGTTGCAGGACTGCACGAAGTTGGGCGCGCGGGCGACCATGTCGGCGTAGTCGGGCAGCGGGCACGAGAAGCCCGGGCCAGATTGGCACTTGGGCCAGGGCACGACGGCCTCGTTGATCAGTGCGCGGACGTAGATCCCCTGAGAGGTCGGGGCGGCGGTCGCGTTGCACGAGAGCCGTTCTAGCACGAGGTGCCCGCCCATGGGGACGATGTCGGTGACTTCGGTAGGGGTTGGGGAGGGGACGGTGTCGTTGGGGAGGGGCGACGAGGGCACGTCGAGGCCCAGCGCCGCCACGACGGGCGTGATGTTGGCGTCGTGGGCGCTAACAAACAAACAAAAGGAGTGGTGACAGCGTCAGCCTTTGAGCCCTCTCTCTCTCTCTCTCTCTCTCTCTCTCTCTCTCTCTCACATACACAGACACAAAGACAAACATCAAAGGACGTTCGCGAAGCGAGGGGGTCTATATGTATGGTGGTACGGTACTCACAAGTTCCACCACATGGTACCGTGACTTGGCCCAGCCTCGAGAAGTGCGAGCGACGCATTCGCAAACACCTGGCCGATCGCGATTGAGTATGGGTTTCCGGGACTAGAAAAAAAAAACGGGGTCAGGGCTGGATAGTCATTTGGTAGAGGGGAGCGGTGCCCTGAGGGGACATCGTGTTCGAGTATAGACGACAACCACAGACGTATCATTCTCTCCCCCCAGATTTTCAGACGTACCCAGAGCAATAGTAATAAGTCAAGTCCTGAACGTATCCGAACGCGATCCATTCGTCGAGTGTGAAGGCGTCCACCCAGGGTGAATAGGATCGAGCCTGGAGCTCATATGTGGCGATGCCTATCGTCCGGAGGGTCCGGCAGCAGGGGTTTGGTTAGTTGGTGATTCTGCCTTTCTTCTTCTGCCTGCTGGTAAGGGGAGAGGGGGGATTGGGGAACAAGGAGGAGGAACAATCTCACTCATCAAGGGCACCACGTCGGAAGAATTCAGATTGAGCCCTGGATTCTGCGCATTCAACCGCGCCGCCGCCACGTTGAACTGGGGCAAAGTCCTCTGCGCGTAGAAGCACGCCAGCAAGCTCTTATCGGCCGGGCAGCTGGGCGTCAGGCTGTCTGCGCCGCGTGTGGCGTTCTCGGATATGATGTTGATGGCCGCGTTGGTCGAGTAGTTGTACCCGAAGAAACCCATGCCAAAGTACCTGGCCGTCTCGATGACGCGCTCATAGTCGCCCGCGAAGATGGGCACCACGGACTCCCCGTCCCACAGGTGGCCGTAGCGGGCGCGGTACTCGGTGCCTTGTCTCAGGGCGTGCAGCAGACCCGAGTACGGACCGGAGAAGGTCTCCTGCTCCAAAAAGCCCGGCTCGTCGATGTAGAAGGTCCAATCGTCCAGAAAGGCCAGGTCCCCGGACCACTGGGAAACGCCGGCGGCATCCAGCTTATCGAGAACGGCTTTGATTCTCCCGTACGTCGTGGTGTCCGGGTACCGCTCGCCGTGGCGCATGAGCATGATGACCTGGTCGACGGCACAGCCTTGCGGCGGGTTGGGGTCGATGCCGTAGCCCGCGCGGTCAGAGTACGGACCGATGGCACCCACATGTTTGAGGATGTTGTACGAGTCCGTGAACGTCTGGGGGAACTGTTTCGCGAGGTAGGCAGACGAGTAGGGCCGTGAAGCCGCGAGAACCCCCGTCGCTGCAACGAGCGTGGAGAACAGAGTCCTGAGGACAGCCATGGCTCTGGCCTGTAAAACGACAAGCAATGACAGTAGCTGGCAAAAACAAATACTCACTCACCAGTTGACTCGAGCGAGGCGAAGGGAGAGAGGTTAATATAGCATCGAGCACGAGAACTCCATTATGGGTGCCAGAAGCAACGAGCTCGAAGCATTGCTCGGCCCAAGTGGGCTTGAAAAAAGCTTTCCCATGAAGCTTCACTCACCGTTCAAACCCGTAGAGTGTTGGTTCCCTCTTTTACAAAAGAGTGGCTTGACACGAAGTAGCACACACGTGAGAGTCGAACAAGAAACCATTGGTCCGTGAGTCTCGATAACAGGCCAATCAGTCCCGGTCACAAATTCTTCAGCTGGTGAGGATTGCTCGGGAAAGAGTATACAAGCCCCGATCTTTAGCACAAAGAAATGTGCATAACAAAAGTGAAGATGCCGGCAAGAATATCCCGATGCATTGTGTTGAAAGGAGGTGCTGGTGCTGGTGCTGGTGCTGATATGGAGAAAGCTTTGCAATGGGCGAGCTTGCGACGCCCACGTGTTTGACTTCTCTTGAACGTTGATCTACGATAGGGCGGAGATGGACGTGAGCTACTCGAGGTCGGGCAGGACGGGTGTGATCTTTCGAGGCTTCGGACAACCACAAGGTAGGAGGGGGAAATGGGACATTCGATATCAAAAATCGTTGATAATTTCATGAAATTATGAGTCAGCCTTGATGCTCTCACAATTCACGCCCCCTGAGGTGCCCAGCCTTGTCAGCTGGAATGGTCCCGAATGGTTCCCCCAGCAATTCGTGATCCATAATCTACGAGGTACAAATTCCATACAAGGCCTATGAGAGAGATAACAGTGACGGACGGCACTTAATTACACAAATATCATGTGAAGTGGGATCTACTCCAGCCAAGAGGCCGCTACTGGAACGTGAATACCTTGCACAAGAGATCCATTCAGCCATTCAACGGCCCAATAGATCGAGCCAAGATGTTTTATCGGTCATGCTTGTGAAGCACGATTCAATCACAACTTAATATTCAAAATTCAACATGGAAGAATCAGACTCTCGAACCAAAGATTTGGTTTTACAACCCTCTTGTCATTTTCTGCGTTTTATTTAGACCGTCGAATCTTCTGTACAGATCTGCCCACGTTCTCTCAATCCGTGTGGCCATTTCCCACCACCCAGTCGTCTCAAAATCCTCCGATGACTCTATTGCATACATGCCTCCCGAAGGCCTAGATGATCTCTAGGAGTTTTTCCTCTTTTTTCAGTTCAGGTCTGATACCTCGTCCTGCCGAAAAATGTGACAAAAGCTGTTTTAGCACAAACGCCCCTGTTCGCCCATGAAAGAATTGCCCCCATGAGATGCCTTTTTTCCATTGGTGATGCGTCGTGGCGCTCGTGGCGTACAAGAAGTGAAATAAAAAACAAGACATTGCTAAAAAAAAAATTTCATAACATCATGCAAAAATGGAGTGATAGCCAGGACAAGTTGGATATCCTCTCAAGCGCCATCACTCCGACAAGCCTCCCCACAAACAAATTCTGATATCCACGAAGATATCACGAGCGATCACTCTTCACTCTTCTCGAACGGGTGCTAGTGTCAGACAGTGATGGTAGATATCCATGGTGGACGGACGGACGGGTGAACAACCGGGTGATGGATCTAGGCTGCCCAGCGTCTCGCGTTGGCCGCAGTCATGGCGAAATTGGCCGCGACTCCGGGAGAGCATTTCATGCCGCTCAAAGGAAGGACGGCACTCCAGCTGCCCGAGGCGCAACGCTGGAAGCTGGCTCCGTCAATGCAGTTCCAGTATCCTTCGTTGGAGCAAGGTCCTGTCAGAACACCGGCGGCGGAGCCACTCGATGACCCAGAAGACGCGCCAGTGGGAGCTGCTACGGCAGCGGTTGACACAGCTGTGGCTTGAGTCGTGACGGGAATTACCTGGAGTGGGTTAGCACTGGTTGACGAGGTAGGAACGGAAGCAGGTACCGAAGATGCACCGCTTGCAAAGTTTCCAGGTGCGGCGGTGGGCGTTGCCTGGCTGGATACCGAGTATTGTCCACCGTTGCCGCTCGCAAACGCTGGTGGCTGTCCAGCAGGTGGTCCAGAGGATGGCGGTCCAGTGGGTGCAGGACCAGAAGTTGCCGGCGCAGAGGGAGATTGAGCAGCTGGAAGGGAGTTGGTTGGCTGTGAAGGAGGGCCTGCGTTGCCTGACGCGCCTGCGAGCATCGTGTATGGTCCCGTTCCCGCTTGTTGAACGTCCGCACCAGGATCTGGGAAATGATAGTCAAACCCCTCAACTGTGCTGCAGTCGTTGATCGAGGGGAGATTGCAAACAAACAGGTCGGGAAAGCTAGTCGCTCGCTTTGAAGTTTTGGGAGCTGGCGCATATCGCTTCTTCTTGGCCGCGGTGACAGTGAATGGTGCGCAATTTTGGTAAATCTCACGATTCCCTACTTTATTGTACCAAGTCCACGAGAGGGTGTAGTCACCCGGGGAGATGCCATCAGGTACGCTGAACTGGAAAGTCGAGGCGCCAGTGCCGCTGGGGTCAGCGGGGAGATTGCCGGCGACGGACGCAGGGCAGCCGCCCTCGATGGATTTGATCACCATCCACTTGGAGTTCTTGGTAGGTTGGAGATCGGTGGTGAGGCTGACTTGACAGGATCCACCGCCATGAACGGCACTACCGAGGAAGCTCAGAGTCTGAGGCTCCCCGATGGCGGCGACGTTGCTAGCACCCTCAGCGTCGTAGACACCGGAGCGCTGCTTGCAGGGGAAATCAGAGCCGTCGGCGAGAAGCGGTGAGTTGTTGAGAGATGATTTGCCGTATGGCACAGGAGTCTTCATGATCATGTGGGCATCCGCTGCTGCAGCCAAGAAGGCAAGCGCAGCAAGAGCCGCAGACTTGGAAAAGACCACCATTTTCAAAGTCGGTAGAGAGATGTTGAGTCGAATTTGGAGATAGAAATGAATGTGTTGGGTAGGGCAATGGCCGGATCGCGCTGAATCACTTGGTCAGTTGAATGTTGGAGCCAGAGGTATGTTTTGGAGTTGTCGAATCTTCAACAGCGGATGAGTGTTTGTATGGTGATGGTGAACTTCAAGATGAATAGAGTACTCGCAGGTTTTAAAAGGAAAATGGTTTGGCGCATGATGAGGACAATGGAAAATCCCAAACAATCGAGCACAAAAGCCAACAGGATTTGACAAGCAACTGCCTCAGCCTTGTGATGGGTGACAATGCGTGTGAAGACTGACAATAGTGGGCAAAGACAAAGCACCTGGTGAAGCAATGGACAGTGAATGGGGATGGAGTACCTGTTTGTCACTGACAAAGGAATGGTCGCTGACTTGCTGAGTCAACTGATTTTTTGAAAGGAACGTGTGTACTGCACCAGGCAGGTAAAGAGTGTAAATGTCAACAAAGGAATGTAGGACTAGCCTGCCACAGTTGAGACAAAAATGAATGAGATGAGATGAAGCTCTGGAGAACTCTCAAGATGGGAGGAAGGTCTTGGCCGGCTTCTATATAGATTTTTTGTACCGAGTACAATACCTGGAAGTCGGCAAAAACCCCTGGACAAGTCAAAAGCTGTACCCCGGTCAGTGCAGGCCATGCTGGTCGTGTTAGTGGTGTGCAAGGGGTACATGAAACACGGCATTCTATTGGCAGCAAAGCATTCTACTCGTACCCTTCGCGCGTGGCAAACTGACGGCCAGGGTGAAGGTTATGGAGTGGCAAGCTTGTTCAGAAGGCCGCGTCCAGTGAGAGCTTCGGCCAGCCCGCTCAAAACAAAGAGATCTTTAGACATGGCTGAACAGCTCTTTCACACAAAATGTTGATATGCATATTTGATTCGTCGCAAGACAGAGGAGCTGGTGAGAAGAATGTGGACCTCGATGGGAAGCACAGAGCTGCGGAATAGGAGATTGGTCCGAGATACCCCACAGATCGGTTAGGGGCGATAGGAGATGCGGACAAGGCTTGATCGTAAGTTGCTCCGGAATGACGCAGGGGAATATCAAACCAGACCAATTCGGACGGGTCTCCTGAGATGGTCGGAGGAGGCTGAAGCAGGCCGTCGCGGTGGGTGTGGGGAGAGAAGAGGGAAAAGGAAGGGCCAGGAATGAAGAATGAGAGAGCTGGATGGGATGATCAGGGGGAGGGAAACATGCGGTCGACTGCAGCCAATGGTTAACCGCGTGACGACAAGCCCCTATTCCGTACAAGGTTAGACCCCGCTGCCTCGATCCGAGACTCCACCGCGTTGATTGGCTCGGAATTTCTCCAGCTCGACCAGCTTGAAACACCCACCTTTGCTCTGTCCCTGCTTAACAGATGCTAGCAACCATCAGCTTGCCACCGCCAGCTCCATTCTCGGACCACGCAAAGGAGTGGTTGAGTTCCGGCCTCGCAAAGCATTTTTACAGAGGTCGCGTGAAGATATCACGGACACAAAAAACTGGGTGGCTGGCAGAGCACGCAGAGCTTGTTCCAGATCGGGAGGCGCAGTTGCGGCAGGGGTCATGTTCAGGCACCAAAGTAGCTATACTCGGTAGTCTTGACATAATAGGTACCTCGTACAAGTACTCGGTACACTCGGCATTCATCCATCAGTTGACCTGGCCATGAAAAGGCCTCGTACACGGCTTTCACTGGTAAGGCTGCTTGGAATGTTTTGTTCGTATGAGACATTAGGGAGTGGAATGTTGTTTGTCTTGGACATGAGCTGGACCAAAGGATCAGGGGATTCATGCGCAGGGCACAAGTATTTACTTGTCTGGATCGGGTGAACACGTTTCTCGTATCGAGAACATACTCATAAATTTCGCCACTTGAGCTCTGTGCAGTGAAGCATCCTTGATGAATTTTTGTCCGATCAAGCTAACCTTGGAAAGTACCTAGTTCCAGTTTGTCAAAGATGACCTTTACATGAGGTACGAGTAGGTACAAATAAATTGTTCGAGCGGTCCTACAAGAAGCCAAGGAATCCCTGACCGCGACCCGCCCACGTCTCCGCCACATGCGCCAGCTGATTCCAAGCAAAGCACTGCTTCCTGCCAAGTGCAACGGCTGAACACACGACCAGAATCGCGGAAATGAATATTGGGTCAGGATTGACTTGCGGAGTACTTACATACAAGTACGAGTACTTGGCATCATGAGACGATTGACTGAGTTAAAAACTGACTCAAGGCAGTGCGATCCTGGATGAAGCGTTTTCCAGATCGTTGCACGCGATGGTGACCACTTCACCCCATGCAAATGGTGCATTCGAGTTCCTAATACCTCGGATATGAGAGGATTTCTCAGGGAGATCGCGCATCCTGGGCATCTTCTCAAGGGAGCATCAATCACCATCCTGTGCCGTGGGATGGCAACAATGACATTCAGTCAGGGTTGGGGCTGACCTACATCCCAGCGCAAAACAATGCTCAATAATAGGTCAGGTCTGGACCTTGGTTCTCGTCCACAAAAAGGCGACATCCTCCTCGTCCCAAGGATACTTGGTCGTACCTGTGCCTTTTCTGAATGCCTCGGACAAATATATCTCAGTGCGGTTCCACGGCATATAGTTTCTCCGCATTTCGCAATGCTCGCAGGCTGCGTTCCGTTCACCTCATCTTCGCCCCTCATTCTCACTGACCTTTTGTAATACATACAAAATAGACAACGGCGGTGTCTACCTAGGCATCTTCCTTGCTAGACGGCTGCACAAGATTTCCTTTGGTTCATAATGTCAATATAGAGTATAAAAACGTCCAGCACATTCTTTTCCCAACCGTTATTTTCATGCGAAATTCACTCCTTCCGTCATGCCCTCCTCAATCGCCATGCCGTCTCTTTCGTCTCTCTTGTCGTGGCGCACGCTCGCGATTCTCTTCGCCCTGGTCAATCTCAAATCGCTTCCCTTGGCCTGGCACGCACGCCTCTTCTACCGCATGTTCACCAACTGGTACACGGAAGCGCGGGTCCAGCGCACCATCAAATCGCGGTCCGAGTTGTCGGACTCGGTACACCCTCTTTTCGAACCCGTCTCCATCTTCTCGCGCTCCCCGCTGCTCGAGACGGACTACAATCTGCATAAATCTAACAGCACCTACTTCGTCGACCTGGACGAAAGCCGAACGGCGCTCATGACGAAGCTCTTGATCCCGGGCTTAAAAAAGGGGGATAAGCATCTCGAGCGCGAAGGCCACAGGGGTGCGCTGAATGTGATACTGGGCAGCGTCCATACGTCCTTCCACAAGGAGATCAAACCATACGAGCGCTACGAGGTTCGCTCGAGGATACTTGCGTGGGACAACAAGTGGATTGTGGTGGGCAGTTGGTTCATCCGGCCTGCGTCGCGCAGCGGAAAGCAAGAAGTCCTCCTGGCGTCGGCATTGAGCAAGTACGTGGTTAAGAAGGGCAGATTTACTGTGTCTCCGGAACGGTGCTTTACTACAGCTGGATGGTTGCCGCGCAAGCCCGCAAACAGCAGTGCCAGCGCAGACCAGCAAGACAAGTCCGAACAGAGAGAAGTGTCTTCATGGTCGTCGTCATCAGAGGAGTCGGAGCCCATGGCGGCACCGCCTCAGGATCCTCTGCCTCCCACCAACAAGGGTGATTCGACCACCACTACAGGACCGTCCTCCGAACCATCAGTAATTTCCACGCCTCAAGAAGGCCCCCTGGCTGCTCCAATTCCGGAACCAGCGACCTTACGCAGCGCCGATACCATCGTCGAAAAGCTCGAGACAGCGGCCGCGAAGACCAGCACAGCCATCTTGTCCTCGGCACCTCTCGCTCCTCTCACCGCGGCTCGCGACAAAGCAGGCGGCGAGTGGGACTGGCACAGGATCGAGATGGAGCGGATTCGAGGGTTGCAGGTCGCGCAGGACTGGCTGTCGCTGGACAAAGAGCTGATGCACGAGTTCGCCCGGGGATAGCATCTCCTGGGAACTGGCAGATTCATGTTTCTGGGCTGGGCAGCAGGCGCCATGAAAAGTGGTGGCGAATGACGATCGGACTGCAGGTTTTCCCCAGATTTTGCGCGCAGACTTGTGGGTTCAGGGTCGTATGCATTGCCGAAGCTGCCTGGGTCGGATTTTGACTAACCGGCTGACTAACTGATTGAGGAGTCTATAGGGTTTGATGCTGCATTCAGGTCCGTGCCCGGAATCTGGACTTGAGGACGTCTTGGGACCTGCACCACCTCGGCGAGAGTGTACGAATACAACAGAAGAGGGATATCCTCTGGGCACTACCTTATCTGTACAAACAGACATGCCGCCCACAGTAGAGCATGCGATGGTGTTTCGAGCGCTGTTAGATGTTTAGATCTCTATGGACATGAATGTGAACATGTTATGTATACTTCGTTTCCACTGCCTCGTCCGAGCTGTAGTAGTGTCATTTGCGTGTTAGCGAGGAAACTATACTCGTTGATATCCAAGCTTTATGTTATATTTGATATTTGATATTTGCATTTCTCTTCTTTTTCCTTTCTGACATTAAAGTAAAAATAGGATATTTATCCCCCGATGTAATATGCTCGCTCGCTGCTCGCTCTCACCAGATTTTCCAGTCTGAAAACGAGGGGAAAAAGAAAAAGGAAAATAGTTTTTGGCGCACACACACACAGACATGGCCACTGTGCTCAAACATACAACCAAGATCCAGTCCAAGTCAAAAACGCCGGATCCTCCCTCCTTTTCTCGATGCTGCACTCGAGATATATACTCCATTTTTACTCCGTCAAATGCGCAAGTTTGGTGTCGTTGAATGGAAGTGGCGCGATATAGAGAGATAGTGTTGAACCCTTGGTGGGGTCAACGGAGGCTCGAAACAAAGGGCCAAACATTGGCAAGGTCCATTTGTCGGAAATGTTTGATATCGGCGGGGTTTGTTGTAATGTACACAGATGAACCAGTCGTCAAGCGTCTCAAATCGTGACTGGGGTTCGTAGGGTCCTTCGGCAAGACCGTTGAGTTCAGTGTCAACGCTTCCGTCGAAAAGTAGACGTCTCCTCCGAGGAATCGCTGAAAGCTGGATAGCTGCCGTGCTCTATTCCTTGTGCTCTTGCTCCTGCTTCTTCTTTCCGTTGCCGTTCTTGTGCCTCCTGTGATGTTCCTTCTCATACTCCTCCCTGGCCTTCAATCTCTGTTCCTCCTGTTCAACCATCTCTTTCCACAGGTCGTCGTTTCCGCTGCCGGTGCCTTGGCTCGTGGTGTCTCTCTCGACCTGTTTCTCCAACATGCGCTTGTGTTCGGGGTCAGTGGGGTCGATATATCTGACCGTCTCCCACCTGCTCTGCCCGCTCCTCTGGTCGGCGATCTCGAATGCGGCGGTGGCTATCAAGACACCAACTGTCAGGAATTGGGCGTAGACTCTTGCCTGCACGATCTTTTGCTGGCCAGTGAGATATTTGTTTCTGTTGACCAGGGCAAACGCCGCGAACATGGAGCCAACCCACGAGCCGAAGACGATCTTATAACGCTCTTTGCGACCAAAGTCCATTGCCCGCTCGGTCCATGTTTTGTTCGCTCTCTCCAAGATGGCCTGTTCGGACTGACGCTGCCGGAATTCGACTTCTTTGGGATTTTGCGATGCTTCGAAGGCACGGGAATAGTGATCGGCGCTGATGATGCCGGCGAAGGTGCCGGAGGATGTGACGAGAAATGCCTTGAGGGGGAGAGTGAGGTTGCGGAAAAAATGGTAGCGGCGATGGGCGAAGGCGACACCGGCGAAACCGACGGCGAGACCTGCAAGACCGCCAATCGTACCGCCTTTGAGGGTCGCGCGGTAGTGCTCTGCTTCTTGTTCCTTGGTGAGGAGCTTCATGGTTGCGGTGTTATGATGTCAGGTGGTGAGGTGGTATAGTGGATGGATGAGGGGCGACTTCGGAACTGTTGTCGTCTGAGTATGTTGGATGCTGCTTGGGGATGGTGGTGAAGGAAAATGCAGGTGCAGCTGATGGCGAACAGTCAATGATATATAGTCACCGTGCGTACAGTTCGACGTAGCGAAGCTAGTAAAAACCCACAGAGTGGGAGTGCGAAGCAAAGCCCGGAAGTGGTGAACCGATGTGTGATTCGCCGCAGCTGGGATGGCTGTTCTGGTAAATGAATAAGCTCCCTGCTTGGTACCAGTGCGGCATCAGTCAGCCTGCGTTTGAGCCAATTTCTTCTGGAAACTCGTCCTTACACAGCAACACTCTATGCAGGGAGTTGTCTCGGATCTCGTGTTTGTCTTTGTGTCTATTCTCTCAGTTTCACAGAGGGCAGAAGTACCAGAAGCAGACAAAGTTGAAATGAGCTCAATCACTCCCAATGTGGCCGGGTTGCTGGTTCTGTACCAGACGGAGCGAGATGCCTATTCCAGCAAAATGGTCGAAACGGGCATTTTCTCTCGTTTCTGCTGCTTCTGGAGCCCATGACATCAGGCAACGGCCTGGAGATGCCGGCGTCTCCCACCAACAAATCCCATCCCCATTCGGGTTTCACTGACGGCGAATCACAGCGTTGGCCATACGGAGTTCCCTCACCGGCCATTGGCGCCAGTCTCTTTTTTCGCTTGAATAATCATCAGCCAGGGTTGTTTGAGACGAAACCTGATCACCAAGTCGCCCGGAAGCACCCGCCGACAACAAGGAAACCTCTGAAGCCCTGCCACAAGCTACCCTACGAGAAATGACGACGAGCCAGCCCAATGTTTTGCCGATAGAAAGGGGTGCAGCTGTTGCAAAAAGTATAAGAAAATGCGCTGTTTTAGCATCTCCACGGAGGAGCCGGGATACTCTCGGGACACACTTGAAAATGCCCTTGCTGCGCAAAGTCGTCTCCAGGCGGGCTCCAGGCGGGCTCCAGGCTTCTCTGACCTGCTTTTACCCCTCCGATGGTGTGACATATGAGAACTCGCTGCCCTTGGGACTTCCAGAAAGGGTAGGTTCCATGTTTTCGGCGACCACCCCCAGACAATTGTGGCAATCTTTGATGCCCTTGTGGGAGAAGTATTATATCTCGGCGTCCGACATCAGGAGACTTTGAAAATCATTCTCACAGATCTCGTACGTGGAGACACTCGAAAACGGGACGGAAGGATGTGACCGTCAACAACCTTTGGTGGTCACTGTCTTGCCACGAAAGGCTCAGCTGCCCTATCCAACCTTCCGCAACACGATGGAACTCGGCGAACACATACTGTTTTGGAACGAAACTATGCGCAGACCTACAACGCCACGATACGCTACTGCCGACAATGACCTTTTCCGACTACTCATCAGCGAAAGGACTCTTGCGCGCGCGCTCACCACCTCGAACCGAGAGACTCGAAGAATTATCGATTTATTGCTAGGCCTCTGTTAATGCAAGGATCAAAGTCGGTCGCATAGGCGTAAACGGCCTTGGGTTGGAAGCATCTCTAGAGGACGTTATTTTCGAGGATCGTGGTCATTCACGGGATAAGTTATGCCTGCACCAGTGCCGGGCGTGTGCCTGGTCTGCTCGACATCTCATGATGTGCTGGAGACAAAGGACATGTTTGGACCGTGGTATCGACCAGGATTGTTGGCTGGCACTTGCCATGGCGATAGGACACATCTTCTAGTATCGCTGAGGGGGAACACTCCCTGACTGAGTTTGACGACAGGTCCTGCGCGTTCGATGGCGCGCTTGAAGGTAGGCAAGGCCGAGAAGGCCAAGTGAGCGACTGAACTTGGTGAAAAGAGTCGACAATGCTCGTACTCCTCCTGCTGATCCAGCTCCAACGAAATAAACCCTACTGAAGGCCATTCCCTCCTCGATGAAAGACGTACTAGGACAGCACGCACTTCGCGAGATGGTGGCTTGCCGCCTCACTGACCGCCGACAGGGATGCGGCCTACACTTCTTGCCGCACACTGAACGATTTGACAAACGTTGGGGCTCGTCTCATATGGCTTTTCGAGAAAACCTCGCCTTCGAAACACGCAACCACTTACATAGCCGGGCATGTACCACTGGATTGGTTGGTCTCTCGAGTGAGAGGACACCAAAATTGCATACTCCAGTCTCTTGCCCGGCCAGCAAAAGTGAAAGATCGTAGCTTTCCGCAGACCATCTCCGTGAGCCAGGTCGACTTGGCGGACTTTGCAACCCTGCACTGGTGCGGTGGGAGATGAGCCTGGATTCTTCACCACGACGATAAAGCGATGAAACCTCTGAGACAAGGGGCGTTCCGGATTTCTACGAGCAAATCAGTATGACGGTAAGTCGCGCGGGAGAATTTCTCAGATCGTTACAAAGAGTTTCCAGGACCGTCCTTCATATGATTATGTTGTGATCCCTCTCTTTTCGGATGTTCTTACCCTTTTCTCGACGCAACAACGCTGTCGGCTGGTAACAACGGTCGCATGCAAGGGGACTGACATCGTTGCGGGATGGACATGGCACTTACAGCGAGTGAGATTCATGAGTAAGAATTGGGTGGACCTAAAATAACGGGTCGAGATGCCTGTATGTCATGGTGCCGGAGTGAAAACCGCGGGAGGGAGATGGATAACTCATGGAGGAAGAGAACATTGCCATCGCGAAAACATGCAAGTGAAGACAACTTTCAAAGGTCAAAATAAATTTGGATTCATCGTTCAATACGAACCGCCGTCCCAGACGGGCTAGAGGTACTTTTCCCAACGCTATGAATCGCAGAGCTGAGACAGACGTATGCCGTTGAAAACACGACCGATGGCCTGTCGTTGTCTCCCGAACCCACCAAGAAGCCGAATTTGAAGGTGTATTCCACCGAGATCTTCCCTGTCTAGCGATGTGGAACAGTAGACGAGACTTGGGGCACGATGTGAAAGTTCAAGTGACTCGTCTGAACCCTGGCCCTGTTGCTCACCCTCTCGCCCGGAGCAATGGTGGATTTCGCCTTGGGAATGGCAGCAGCCGGTGCGGTCTCTCGTCTCCTGGTTGGGTCATAAGTTGCCGTGGCCCAGACTTTCTTGGTGTGGTCGTCGCTACGACCCAGAATGGGTCTCGACCAATCCTCCATGAGCTTGGTGGCTTGTCGTTTGATTGCTGGTTCGGCCTTTTTGGATTTGCGATAGAACAGGATGACTTTGCCGATACCAGAAGAGATCAAAGTCTCTTTGTTCATCGGCAGCTTGCTAAGCGCCGCGAATAGTTCACGCTGGATGTTGTATGCCGGTAGACTGCCGTCGGTAAGAGGCTCGAGGAAAAACCGCACTGCCTCCAACAGATTCATTTCCGGATCGAGGATAGATTGCACGTATGTGTTGCGGTTGAGCAGGCTCACCACTTCGGGCAGCATCTTGAGTTTCTGAGAGGCAGGCAGACCTTGCCGCACCAGGTCTCCATCGGTCTCAGCCGCCGTTATCATTCGGTTCCGTAGATCCTCAATCTCCGCATCTGCTGCTTGCTCGAGGTCCTGGGGACTTTGTTAGTACTGGAGGTTGGCACGCCTTACTCTTGAGGACTTACGATCTCGCCCTTTCTCATTCTTTTGCCCGATGATCTCTTGACCGCGGCGTCCATTGCTCTGTCCAACGCCCGTCTCCTGCGCTCTTCAGGAGACAGGGTCTCTTCGTCGATTTCCTCTCGCTCGCGCCTCCGCGGCTCGCCATCCGCCGCCTTTGGCTGCTTGCGCCTCTTGCCCTCGACCTCGTCGCGGCCAGACAAAGCCTCGCTCTCTGCCCGTCGTGACTTCCTCTCCCTTCGCCGCTCTTTCTTTTTCTTCGGCGCAGACTCCTCACCCTCGGCTCGCTTCCTCTTCTTCACTTTAATGGACTTGTTCAGTGTGTCAAAGTCGGGCGCGACTTCCACGGCTTTGGGGTCGAAATCCGCAAATTGGGCTTCGTCGACTTCAGAGAGAAGCGATTCATCGTCCGAGTCGTCTGCGGCGTTTGGTCGAGTGTCGGCATCGTGCTCAGGTTGTGGATCTTGGAATTCGTCGTGCAGGTCGTCAAGCTCGTCTTCGCGCTCGTCCGGTCGATCGAGGCCCTCGGCATCGGGAGGTGGTGCTTCCTCTCCGTAGTCGCTCATGATTGAAGGGAGCACTCCCTGCTTTCAAGAGGCAATACGTCTGGTTTAGTTTTTAAGGGCTCAACGGGAACAGCGGGATGGGTAGGCGAGAGGGATTAGAGTACAGAAGAAGGAAATCTGTGTGAATTCGAGGAGAAACTAGTTGTAAGTGATGAACGTGTAATGAAGTCGGAGAACCAAAGGTTGGGAAATCGACTCGTGCCTTCTTCCGTTTTGGGACTAGAGTGCCGCCTCTTTACCATGGAAAGTTACCCTCGTCCCGTAGATGAGGAGGCGGCTTGAAAGCGGCGTCGAGGAATTACTACTTTAGACAAATATACAGAACAGTACTTGAGCAGCACCTTTACCTCTCCTGCCTCTGTAGGTAGGTAAGGTATCGCCGGATGAACATGCCAGGGATGGTATCTAGATTGCGGAGAGCCTCATTTTGCTTGTTTACATATTGATTTTATTGGTATACTCCTGTGTAACATCCGCGATGGTCTCCACTCCAACACACACTCACATTAAATCCCGCTGTAATACTGCAGATAACTGAAGTGCTCTGGTATAACCCTATCCGCCAACCAGCCGAGCGTCCCACTGTCAATACGAAGGACAAGTCCTGCTTTATCGACCGGAGGTTGCAACCCCTGACTTGCGCGGCCAGAGTTTTACGTTTTAAAATGTCAGTCCGCAAGATATCCCGGACTGCTACAGCAGCAGGACTGTTAGATGTCAGGGCGGCCGCCTGGGCCAGGGTGATCGGTAGAAATCCGTTGGTGTTCCGGATATCCTGGTCAAGTCCATGCTGCAAGAGGAAGTCAGCCATGGGTGAGTTGTGGCATAATATGGCCTCATGCAGAGAAGTTCCTAACCCCATGTGCTTGAGGTTCTCAAACGAAAATGGATGGTTCTGGAATTCCAAGACATTCATCGGACAACCCTTGTCGAGCAGTATTTGAGTAATCTCAAGACTGTCTGCTCTTTGACGCCAGCATGCATGAAACACAGTTGCCCCGTGGTGACTGACCCGCCAGACCGTAGAAGTTTTTCGACAATCTGCTTGGAATGCTCCGCGAAGTGATGCAGGAAGGAAAAGGGTTCCGGCCAACAGCAGGGCTGTTGATTTAGAGGTTAAACTCTTGGCGGGTCAGTCATTTACCTGTCAGAACCCAACTGGTCTGGTCTTGAGCTTTCAATTGTTGATTCATCATTACACTCTACACGCCTCTCACACACGAGTATCGACGACGTACTCTTCTACAACCCAACCGTCCACAACCCAACTCAACCCTGCAATGGTATTTGCTAGAGCTCTGCCTATTCACCTACAGAATCTAGACCACACAACAGAAAGCGCAGTGTTGCTTTAACAGTGAATCAAGGTTGTCGAGGCGGTCGATTGTGAGGGTGCACTGCCTCAAGGGGCGATACATGCGGTCGAAGGTTTGAAGACCAATAGGATCAATAGAGAATGGTCAGATGAGAAGGCAAGTGAGTGCGATATAAACAAGTTCCTCAACAGATATTTGTGACTTCAAAGACAAAACTACGAGCAAGTGATGAATGAACTGGGGGAAATGAAGGTGGATGCCAAGTGTGGTGAGCGCGAGTCATAGCATATTACTAGCCACTTGACCAGGCGAGGTATCTGAATCAGTAGTCAATAATGAGCGGGGATCAGGCATTATTTCCTATTGGTCAGAGACACAGTGTGCAAGTGGTCGGCCGAGTAGAATTTATTAGCATTCGACAGATTCGCCTCTGCAATACCTCGTACACTGTCGTCATCCCAAGTTAAAGCGATATCATTGAGGCTCTCACAATATTATAACAACAATTGGACGTCCAAATTTTCTCCAGCCGCGCTCTCTCGGGGACGCCCTCTCGAAGAGGAAGCGGAAAACCAGAGTTCCGGGGTCAGGGTTAGGACAAGGACAAGGGCTAGGGTTAAACCACCTTGCCACTGATACATGTATTGCACTGAAATCCAGTCGATGTTCCATTCTTCAGCCAACAATTAGCAAAATTTGACGAATTGCTCTGTGCCATCTGGTATGTCCAAGTTACCCCGACACAGGGCTGCATATTTCCACCCGCCTCGTCTTGACCGTAAAGTTGTGCGAAGTGTGTAGCGCTCGAGCAAGCGTACAGACAATCCGTGAGACTATAGGCAAACAGTCCCACAATATCAGCAACCTGTAAGTCTGGGTTGTTCTCATCGGCAACGTGGTTGAGCATGTCGACGCCGCAAAAGAGGTCAAAAGAGGTGTCGTACTGGACGTCGATGCGGGAGTTGCCGTCTGCGCAGCCAGGATTTTCAAGCGTGTTGACATAGTAGGGTTCGGGAACAACGAAATTTTCCAGTGATGAGGGAGCTGGCAGACCAGAGGTGGTGGTTGTTGGGGAAGTTGTTATACTTGAAGTGACAGTCGTTGTCGAGATTTGTGCACTTGATTGTGTTAGCATACCCATCATCTATATATGAGTACAAGTTCTTCTTACCTGGATGAGTCCGATTTGTTTCCTGATAGTGCCCCGCCCACACCACCACCTACTGCGCCGCCTACCACAACAGCGGTAATCGCTGCTATCAGTAATCCAAATGCCAGCGGGGACAGGCCCCAGGGATTAGGTCTGGGAGGTGGTGATACGGGCACGCCCTTTTCTGCTGCATAGCCATTGCCATAAGGGTATTGTGGTTGCTGGTAGATCGAGTCAGGCTGCATGTGAGGCTGGGTATGGTGCTGAGTCACCACTTCAGGATATTGTTGGAATGCAGAGGTATCTGCTGGATACTTTTCCGTCGTCGGACTGGATATTCCTGTGGGATGGGCCGTTGGGTCTGAGGGGGAGACCGCTGCCGGTACATTATTGTGCGACATTTGCGAACGGTGCCGCAGCTGTACCTTCTCGTACACGTAGATTTGTTTTTGGTAGGCGTTCGAGGAGCTAAGGCTACAAGAGCCACTTGAACCTCGAGGACAAAGTTGGGCGCAGCCTTTGCCTTCGTTGCAAGAGCATTAAAGAACAACTTTGACACGGGCAAGAGAGAGCCGCAGTCTGCGTGATGCCTGGCTAGCGTCTGCCTTGGGTAACAGAGATTTGCTCCGCGACCAATCCATTTCCAAAGTTCAGGCATCACATATCCGTCTCAGGGACTGGCGCCTCATACCGTGGTCTCTGTCGAAACGGGCCAGACACGGGAAGAGACAAGTCTAGAGCCAGCGGCTGCCTTCACGACTGGTTGGGCTCCAAACGGCGAGCACGCTCCACGATTTTGAAAGGTTAACGCGATAGGTACGTTGAACAATGGGCAAACCTAGAGTGCCCGGCAAGTTTGATATGCGAAATTGGGCGCCGTAAAGGGGATTAGCCCCCTCGGCCCCTCGTAGATCGGGAGCCCCGGACTGATTGGTTCCGGACTAATCAATTCGTTTGACTGTTGGTCGCAGAAAACCATGGGGTATTTTGGCTACCAGTTGCTTTGCTTAATTTGTCCTTGATAATGGCCCGCCCCAACGGAGAGATTGTCATAGATGACAAATTGCGGTGAACAAGTGTCGTGAAAAGGCCACTGAGCCCTCTAAATCTAGTACTCGACATCTGCGGTGGTCGAAACGTCCACTCTCTGCCCATGGGGCCATTGGGGGCCCTAAAACGTGATGCCTGCGACCCAGGGGCAAGGGCACAGCGGTGGCACCGGGTCCCACCACATTGTACCGCGATTATTGGCCACGCATGGGTTCTTGAACTCGACTCGTACACGTATGCAGGAGAGGCGAAACCGAATGGCTCCATGACTTGCCCAAAATGCAGAGCTCGCACAGATAGCCCCTGAGTTCATTCGAGGATCGATGTTTCCGTTATCAGGATTGGTGCGTTTGATTCTTGCCGTTGAGCGGACCCTGCCAGCCTCATCGCACCAGACGATCTGGTTCCACAAAGTCGACAAGTCAAGTGATGTATCTCCACGACGAAAGCTCCATCGTCTGTCGTGCTGTATCCGAACCCGGTATGTCTTGGAAAGCGGTGGTAGTAGCCGCCTCTTGGTCAAGTCTCTTATTTCGACGTCGCAGCATTATACGCATGAAAGTTGCGAGTATTATGGCTCCTAGCGCGCATGAGGTATTCAAACTCATCGACTGTACGTACTTCGGTGCCCAGCGGTTCGGATACAGTTCGGAAGTGATGATCTGTAAAAGCGGATCAGCACCACGAAGTCCTGTTAGATGAGTATGGAAGACAGAATATCTTAAAAGGAAGTCTTCATGGCACAATCTCCCTCTTGACTAACTGATCACTAGCCATATGATATAACTTTGACTCACCTGTGATATGCTTCCAGACGCACTAATAATGGCGATAGCGCAGGCTCGCATCTCTTTAGGCTGGCGGATTGTCTTCTGTGCCCAAGAGAGAACCACGGGATAGCCAGAATGTGCTCCAACGACCATGAGCAATGCTGCGGCGTAGCGAATCCACACGCCGCGTCGTGTGGACGTTTGATCGAGCAGGAATAGCAAAAAGCCGAGGGTTGCCAGTGCTGCTGGCCCAATAACGTGGAAGGAAGCGTTGCAATGTCGGTCGGCGAATAGGCTGTTGGCAATGGTGACGACAACCGCAATGAGGTACGGCGGTGCTGTCATCCACAAGGTCGTATTTCTGGAGAATCCAAGCGTGTTTACGACTGAGGGGAAGAAGTTGTGTACTGATGCACCGATCGACAAGAGCAAGAACATCCCTGCGAAAATCCACACCAGCCAGCTTCTCACAGCCATGACGAGGCCTTGCCAGCGGCTGTTGTCCCTTTCAGCAACCTGCACACCGTCGGCGATCAATCGCAGCTGCGCCACTGCCCGCTCTTTGTCCGAGAGGTAGCGAGTATTGAACGGAAAATCAGGTAGGACGTAGAAAGCGACCCCAGCAATGAAAACCGTGCTGGCGCCGCCTACAATAAACAGCCAGCGCCAACCCTCGAGACCTTTTGCTCCATCAATTGTGTCGTAAATTCCAAAAGCAACAAGGCCAGAGAAAGCGTTTGCTGTCATCGGCGCGGATAAAATTATGGCACTGCGTAGTCCAAGCTCAGTTCTTGTGTACCAGGACGAAATGAGAAAAAGGCAGCCGGCACAGAACGGTGCCTCCAGGAGACCTAGAATAAAGCGCACCGCGTATAACTGCGACGGAGTCTTCACGAAAGCGGTGGCCGTACATACACCCCCCCAAAGAACCATCACGCCAGGGAGGTAGATTGAGGGGCGTCCCCTTGCCAGGTAGTAGTTCGAGGGAAGCTGTGCCATGACATATGCAATAAAAAGGAGCATCATGCTGAGGCCGTATTGATTCGAATCCATGTCCAAATCCTGCTGCAAGCCCATGACTCGAGCATTCCCAAGACTGCTCTGCAGGGATGTAGCATTAGCCTCTGGTGGTTTAAAACTCGGAGCGATCATAACCACGTACTCGGTCAAAAGAATTCAGAGCAAACATAATCCAGGCCATGAATACGAGGCACATGTCGAGTAGTCTTTTGACCCTCTTCTCGATGGCTAGGATCTCCTCCCTGTTTGTGTTTTGAAGCTGGCTGCGAATAGTATCGTCGACCCGTCCATGATCGTGGAGAACGACGATAAGACTCTCAGGAGAGATACCCTTGGGTGAAGAGACATTCTGAAAATTCCTCCCCTGACGAGAGAGGTGACGGAGGAGATGCGCAAATGGCATGACGGCTTTCCCGGTTATTCTGAAGGTACTGGTGCCTCGAGAAAACCCAGGTGTGGGAGACTGGAGAGACAGCCCTTAAAGAACACCAAGGCGCATGAGGCCGGAGAACGAGACTGCGTCTCTAATATTCGAATGCTTCCACCTGTCGTCATAAGGCCTTCTGTCAGGCGACAGAATGCATGGATTACAACAACATAGTCCCGAACAAGAAGATAAAAGCACCAGTTTCATGCATAGCACCAATTAGTAGAGTGAGTTCTCAGTACTGACTCCGTTGTCCGTCCCGAGCATCAACCGTGGGAATGCTGATCGGACTAGAGAAGAATCTTAACCAAACCTTACCGTTGAAGTAATCTGTCTAGACTTGCCCACGTGCTCCTTCGGGTCGCACATGGTGCGTGCCAGAATGTCCAGCATCGATAACATGACCGAAACGAAACCCAGAAAGGGTTATATACTGGGGAGTTATGTAGATGGCGGACCGAGCTGTCTAGTCAGTCGGACGTGCGACCGCGGATGCCTGCGACTGGTCGCAACGAAGTCTAGGAGGTGATCACCCGAGACTACCTGAACTTAGAAGGTCTGCACCCAGCCGTATACTGGATGTTGCGAGGGAAGCACATCTTGACGGGTAAGATGGCCGTTGTCTGAGTAGAGACATCACTAGACAGGGCAGATCTGGCATTATACCAGGGCAAAGAGTGGCAGGAGCTAGCTTTCGACGTAAGAAGTACCCATTCGAACTTGAGCGGCCATTGCATAGAGATGTTATTTCCTCGTTGGCTAGGTCACTAAAGATGAATGAGAGGAAGATGTTCTCAAAGCATTTTGCCGAAATGTGGAGAGATCTCAAGGTTCTCCAAAGCGGAAAGTCAAACGACCTTCGTCGACATCAGACCAAGAAATTCCGACTGGCACCACGAAACACACCAGTCCTTGACTTGCTCATCCAGACTCTGCTCTCTGCTTAATTTTCGAAAGAGTTCGAGACCGTTTCTTCCCAACCTGCTCAACACCCCCAGGGCCTCTTTAGCTGGCAGTCTGCTCTCAAGACCCTCACCCCGACACAAACCACTTCCTACTTTTCCACAATGTTTGGCGGACGTAAGTCTCCCTTCCGAAACCCTCCAGGCGCTTATCTTCCTTCACATGTCCATCGCGAGTTGGCGATTATCACGGGCTGACAATCTGTGTCCTGAAACAGCGCACGAACAGCTCTCCGAGAAAGAGATCCGCGAGGGCGAGGCTCAAGCCACTGCCCAAGTGCAATTCTTCACCGTTGCCTGCATCGCACTCTGGTTCTGTACGTTACCTCCACCCCCTGTTCAACTTTTCCTCGAAAACCCTCGTCCTGTCACGTTCTGCCGGGAGATTGTCCAGTTCGGGAATCTAGCGCAGAGAACAAGTAGTGCACCCGACCGCGGAAAGAACAAGGAAAAGGCGGGAATGAGAACCCAAAAAATCCAAATCTGTTGAGCCAAAAAACGAAAACACAAATATAGAAATGTTCGAGCCTGACCGATGCTGACATCTTTGGGAACTAGCCCCTCACGTTGTCGACTGGGCGAGCAAACTCTTCTAAGACTACCCTGTCGATTTCAGCTTTCGATGCCTTGCTAGTACCATTACCCGACTGGCAAACAAGAGTTGCGTCCCTCCCGAATCAGATGGGCCACAGGGCATGCAAATGAGCAAGCTCCCCCGCTAAAGCAGGCCCCGGTATATCGAGATGAGGATCAGGCAGGAGGGAAACCTCTCTGTACATTAGCTTGTATACTATCGTTCTCTAGAGAACAGCAGCTGGGACCGTCTGACTCTTGTTCGAACGGGTATTATTGTTGATGCAGACGACATCTTCTCAATTCATGGATCTCAAATGTTGTTGACAGTCTCTATTCATGTGTTGTTGCTTCGCCTTGTTTTGACCTTGCACGCAAGTGGTGCACCACACCAGCACGTACCGGCCCTGGCCAACTGTTTGCGCCCTATTTGTTCCTGTTTCCTACCTTTCGATTACCTCCGCCTGGGGATATCATTATCTCTGTCCCTCGAAATCTTCTCCCATTCGTCAAATTCTTGCTGTACGAGTTCCAATTCTTTCTGTAGATGTCGTAGCTGAATTTCGTAGGCTTCCAGTGTCTGCGTAGTTGGGAGAAGTCAGTAATTGCGTTGTTTCTGCTCCAGGGCTCAGTTACTCACCTTCTTAGCAGCTTTGGTAGTTTCCTCGTCCAGTGTTGTGTCTTCCCCGTTGGTGGCACCCGCAGGTGCGAGCTTCTCCATTTCGACCTTGAGCCGCTTCGCGCGTTCACGAATCCCCAACATCCTCGCCCAGACTTCTTGCTCTCGTGCATTGAGAGAGGGGTCAAAGACCTCGCGTTGTAACTTCTCCAATTTCGCTTTCAATTCCTCTTCAGCGTTATCCATCACATAGCCTCGATTGCGCAAGATTTGGACTTTGACTGCCAGTACTAGCGTCCGCTGGGCTGCCGAGGCTTGTCGTCTCTTACAGTCTTCCAACCGTGTAGCCACATTCTGGCGATGTTTGTCCAATTGTACGTCGAGTGATGTATTGATTTCCTGGAGCATCATGTTGCATCTCTGGACGGCCTCCATTTGTATCTGAGCTTTGCGGCCTAGTTGGAAAAATCCTTGCACCAAAAGAGGTACCCAGTCAGGTCCCGGTCTTCGGGAAACTGCTTCTTCCCACTTGTCTTCATCTTCTCCCGGCCCCGGGCGGTATTTCAATGCATCTGTCTCACTCTCCACATGCTGGTATAGGTACGTCCGCAGGGGTGAGGATAAACTGGTGGGGTCCCACTTGTTCTTGACGATGTTCATCTGTACTGGTATTGATCTGTAGACATTGAGGCCACGTCCTTCCTCCCATAGTGACTGGGTTCCCGGTTGTCCTTGTTGCGATTGTCCGAACCTCAGCGTCTGGTCTAGAGGTCGCTGTGGCTGCTGCTGAGGTTGCTGTTGTGACTGACCAAACCCAAACGCGCTTTGTTGTTGCGGCTGAGTCGCAGTGCCAAATAGGCCACCCGGTTGCTGCTGAGATTGTGTCGCGCCAAATAGACCACCCGGTTGCTGCTGAGATTGTGTCGCTCCAAACAGGCCTCCAGACTGCTGCTGGGGCTGCGATCCAAGCCCAAACAGACCTCCACCCTGTTGTGTCTGCGTAGATGTGCTAAACAAACCACCTCCTTGTTGAGGCTGCGATTTGGGACCGCCCAAGCTGAATGTCGGTAAACTGCTCTGTTGCTGTGACTGCTGTGTTTGTTGCGTCTGCGGCTGACCGAAGAGAGACGTCGAGTTGGCCGGTTGGCTGGAGGAAGGATTATTGAAGGAGAAGAAGCCAGTTTTCGCAGGCTGCGCCTGGTTCGTAGTTGAGGCCCCGAAGAGACTCATCGTACACGCCGTTCGTCGTTTGTGCAAAATTCAAGCCCAGCCCGGCGCAATTACGAAGGACGTTGGCCCTATCCACGGCACTACTCAGTTCTTGAACCGGGAGTAGATACCTGTCGTGAATGAAGAAAAAGACGTGACGATCTCGCTGGCATTGCTCAATCCGGGGAAGGTGTCGCTAACGCGCGAGTCTTGGAGACGCGAAAAATCGCAACGGAAGAATATTTCTCCATCATCACACAATGCAAAGGGCTTGGCGTCCAATATTATGGTCTTTTGGCTCTGGGTGCATCACAACACGACACTGTGATTCGAGTAGCTATCGAATAAGAATCCGATATACCCCAGAAACAAGTGCTTGGTCGCATACGCCTGGAGTTCCTGGTATGCGACACCATTCTATTACCTCACAGAGTGCCCAACCTGGGGGAATTGGTGTGTTCATTGGACCAGAGATTAGCATCTCTTTTAGAAAACGCATTACGAAGCCGTGGCCTTGTCCACGAGAGATGACCTCCTTCCGATTCCTCCATCAGAAAACCGCTTACGCGACGCCATCACAACCGCCTCGTATCCAGCGTAGTTATGCTATAGCATCGCAACAAGATATCTCCAACCCGTGGCAGATGCACACGGTAGACAGGACCTTTGCTGCAACTATTCCCCCTCTTACTGTGCAGCGGAACTTGTGCTGGGGTGAACAGTCACCTAGAAATCATTACCATATACATGCCTATTCTCAGCCTGACCCGAGCGAAACGGACGATCTTTGCGAGGTGGCCAATGGTTGTCTGTATGGCTTGGACACCTGAGGCCGACGATCCCCGAAGGCAGAGGCGATTTCGCGTAGACTGAAGGATGCAGTCTGATTTCGTGGACACATAGAATCGCACCTGCAGCCCGTTGCAGCCGGGTCGAGCCACATTGGGCGCCATTCACTTGAGTGCAGCGGCCGTGGTGAAACAGTGAGCAGAATCCACTCAAGGGAACCCGCCAGACGACCAGGCTCTTAAGTACCAACACACTGGCGGGGATTTCGACCGAGGATATTCCAGGCTGTTGTTTACACCCATCATAATATTTTCCACATCCAGACAATGACAGCCTACAGCAACCAAAGCCATGGGAAAAGCTCCACAGGGTAAGGGCGAAGCTCCATAAAATGGATTTCAGATCTGCCAATGAACAGAGCGGAATTTGAATGCGGCTCGGGCTTGAAGAGGGTTGATGTGTTCATTCTGCATGCAGGGTCCCGCCAGGAACAGGGGACAAGAGCTTCAGAGTGTCCGATTTCGGATGGGCGACTTTAGTGCCGCCGAGCGAGCGGCACTTGGGTGGCCGCATCAGCATGGGTGTTCCCACTTCTGATTGGTTTCTAGGCTATTGAAAGTTCATGATCTCTTCGAGAGCCGATGGATGGTGGAATGAGTAAAGTAAATCAGCCGAAATCTAACTGGTCCTTCCGCGGCGACTCGTTGCTCGCGAGGGGCGCTGTGGTACCAGGGCGAAAATACCCAGCAATTCATACATGGCACTGGCTCGCTTCGACTGGAGCTGTGTGATGCAACCTGATCAGCCATCTCCCCCGTGCATGTTACCAGCTGGCGAACGCCCCCCAGCGTGGGGTGCGTCTTCCCAGCAACAGGACGGAAGCACCGCTTTCATGCAAAAAACCTCTTGGACATGAAGGATCTCTCGTGACAGCGCTTTTTCAATATCGCATTGTGAATGGCGACAGAATATGTGGCTAGTTTTTTAGGGCAAACACATCCTGCTCGCTGCTGGCCTTGTAAGTCAGCAGGAGCCCATAACTTCTTTCAGTAGCTTCTTCTATTCTCGCAAGAAAGCAGGGCGTGAGAATTTTCTTTTTCCGTTGTTTGCAGTAGTCATGGCCCGGGCAATGCCGGAAGAGGATTTTTGACTGTCAGGTGTGCTCGGTGTATGTAGTACAATGCGCGCCCGGGTTCTGTCTGAGAGGCTCGCGGTAAAGGCCGTTGGGTCGAAGCAGCGCACTTCACGCCCGTCATCTCTGGTTGGCCTGGAATGTAAGCGAGGAGCAGAAGCATATTGGGGAAATCTGATGCGTCTAGACTTTTTTGCAGGTGGAGTGCAGCTAGGGCTATGACACACAGGAACTGGATGGACAAGCTTACCTAGGTATGAGAATGAGTGGCACCAGTGGCACCAGTCAGTGCCCTGGAGATGGACTGAGGAGGAGGGCGCCGGTCACGGCCAAAAATTTTCTACAGCTTGAGATTCCAAGATGTAATGTAGTGGAAAAGCGATGATGGTGATTGGTTGGCGCGGTTCTTATCAGCACATGCATCGTGATGGAGAGGTTGGGAGGATAACGCCATGCCACCTATCGGATGCCTCCAAACAAGCTGCCCATGATGCAGAACTGCGTAGCTGCCTTCCGAGCGCCCCCCACTAACAATCTTGGGGCTGCCCCCCACCTTGGAAACTGGTGCTCCCAGCTTATTCTGGGACTGCTTGCTTCACACTTTGTTGCTGTAACGATCGGGTTCGAGGTGAAGTTTTTTTACCTGCCAGAACAGTCCGTGCTTTGTAAACCACGAATCCTCGACCTAGTGCATCTAGCGAAGGTGGTCCTCCATTTGCCGACATCACATGCTGGATCAGCCTGTCGCAACCACTCTCCGCGTCGTCTATACTGCCAGTGGCCAATTCTCCTTGCGCACTGACACTAACTGACGAGGGTAGAAAGTTCTGCACTGTCGAAATTCCAACCCCACACCTTTGGTCGCTGGACTGACATTGCCTGACCCAAAATTCTTCTTTTCTTCCTCTCGTCCACACCCTCTACCCGTTCATCCTTCTGTCTTCTTTGCTTTCAGCTCGACACTGCCTCGACCTGACAGTCCTCCTCCGAACACACTTGCGGGTGCTGGAGCTCACCATACAGAGAGACAGCCTCCTTGCTGCCGGACATCAGACCATCCACTGCCCTGGTGCAGCGTTTCCTCTATTCCAACAAAAACAACACCAACGACCAACCTGACAGCAGTTGCTGCCCGTCTCTCCTCTATACTCTCCTTCAGAAAACGCCGTCGCTAGTCGACCATAGGATGGGCTCAGTAGCCGAGGAACGAAGACAGCAAGAGATCGATATATCAGAGGTCCAGGAAGAGTACACTCCGTACCAGCCCGACAAGGGCTATGGCTGGGGTGAGGCTTTGCCAGAGAAGCAAGGTCTGTACGACCCTGGCCTCGAGAAAGATGCCTGCGGTGTAGGCTTTGCCGCGTAAGATTCACTCTAGGAGGAAACGCCTTTACAAACCTTGGGTTGCTGACACATATTCTAGCAATATCAAGGGCAAGGCGAGCCACAAGATCATCAGCGATGGTAGGTTTCGCTCCCATAAGTATTCTCTGGGCCATGAGACTGATTTTCATCAGCGCGGAACCTCCTATGTAACATGACCCATCGGGGTGCCGTTGGTTCAGATGCACGAGATGGCGACGGTGCGGGTGTCATGACATCCATTCCTCATAAATTCTTCGTCAAGAACTTTGCTCGCGAAGTCGGAGTAGAGCTACCTCCCCTGGGCCAATATGCAGCGGGAAACCTCTTTTTCAAACCCGACACTGAGATGCTGAAACATGCTACCCTCAGCTTCGAAGAGGCCGCACAGTCACTAGGTCTGCGCACACTGGGTTGGCGAGAGGTTCCCCGGGACTCCACCCTGCTTGGTCCTGCGGCGTTGTCGCGCGAGCCCATCATCCTGCAACCGTTCGTCGTCCTGACCTCCGCTTACGGCACTGGCAACAAACCTGAAATCACCGACCCTGAACAATTCGATGACGTCGAGTTCGAGCGGCGACTCTATATCCTAAGAAAGACTGTCTCGCACGATCCGCGGTGGAAACCATGGTTCTATGTTTGCTCTCTAAGCAACAGAAACATCGTCTACAAGGGGCAGCTGGCTCCGGTCCAAGTTTATCAATACTTCCATGACCTTGTTTCGGTGGACTATGAAGGCCACTTCGCTCTGGTACACTCCCGTTTCTCCACCAACACATTTCCCTCGTGGGATCGATCACAGCCGCTTCGATGGCTCGCTCACAATGGAGAGATCAACACGCTCAGAGGGAACAAGAACTGGATGAGAGCGCGAGAGGGTGTCTTGAAGTCTGACCTATTCGGCGAAGAGCTCGAGAAGCTCTTCCCTATTGTCGAGGATGGAGGCTCTGATTCCGCTGCATTTGACAATGTCCTGGAGCTTTTGGTGATGAACAGAGTGCTTTCTTTGCCCGAAGCGGTCATGATGATGGTTCCCGAGGCGTGGCAGGGTAATCCCGCCATCGATCCCGCGAAAGCCGCCTTCTACGAATATGCTGCCTGTTTGATGGAGCCGTGGGATGGTCCCGCTCTATTTACCTTCTCGGACGGCAGGTACTGTGGCGCTAACTTGGATCGAAATGGTCTTAGACCGTGCCGCTACTACGTGACGGACGATGATAGGATCATCTGCGCCTCGGAAGTTGGTACAATTGCCATCGAACCGGAACGAGTGATCATCAAGGGTCGCCTGCAGCCGGGAAAGATGCTGTTGGTCGACACCCAGGCAGGTCGTATCATCGACGATGCCGAACTCAAGGCCACTGTTGCAAACAGACAACCTTTCCAACAATGGCTGAACAAGAACTTGATGAAGATGCCTCAGGTATATGAGGCGATCAGCAAGGAGGTCGATTTGAACTACAAGCTCACAGAATCCACCATCCAAGAAGATCCTCGACTTCGAGCCTTTGGCTACTCGTTCGAGCAGGTCAGTTTGCTGCTTGGACCTATGGCCGCTGACTCCAAGGAAGCCCTCGGTTCAATGGGCAACGATGCACCGCTCGCATGCCTTGCACAGCAACCCCGGCTCCTCTATGAGTACTTCAGACAACTTTTCGCCCAGGTGACCAATCCTCCGATAGATCCCATTCGAGAAGCAATCGTCATGTCTCTCGAGTGTTACGTGGGCCCTCAAGGCAATCTCCTGGAGATGGATGAATCTCAGTGTGGCCGGCTCTTGCTCCCTTCTCCAATCCTCGAGACTGAGACATTCAACGCCATCAAGAACATTTATCGATACAACCCGGAGTGGACTGTGAGAACAATTGACATCACGTTCGATAAGTGGTCAGGCGTTGATGGCTACATGAAGGCCCTGGACGATATCTGCGATGAAGCTACCAAGGCAATTGACGAGGCGACAAGGTCATTATTCTGTCTGACCGAGCAACATCCGAAGATAGAGTGCCCGTGTCCTCGCTTCTCGCCACTGGAATGGTGCACCATCACTTGGTTCGAAACAAGTGGAGATCTCGCGCGGCTCTCATCATCGAAACAGCAGAAGCACGAGAGGTGCACCATATGTGCGTACTCGTCGGCTATGGTGCTGATGGTATCAACCCATACCTTGCTATGGAATGCATCCTCAAGATGAACCAGCAGGGGCTGATCAAGAAGAAATTGACCGATCAACAAATCATTGCCAACTATAAAGCATCTTGTGATGGTGGCATTCTAAAAGTCATGAGTAAGATGGGTATCTCGACCCTGCAATCTTACAAGGGTGCACAAATTTTCGAAGCTCTTGGGATTGATGACACTGTTGTTGATAGATGTTTTACTGGCACCGCCACTCGTGTGCGCGGCATGACATTTGAGCTCATCGCGCAAGATGCCTTCGCATTACACGAGAGAGGATATCCATCTCGACACGTCAGAGAAATCCCTGGTTTGCCAGAATCCGGGGAATATCATTGGCGAGACGGTGGCCAGCCTCACATCAATGACCCGGTCAGTATTGCAAACATTCAGGACGCCGTCAGAACCAAGAACGACAAGTCGTACGAGGCCTATTCTCTTTCAGAATACGAGCAGATCAAGAGCTGCACTCTCCGTGGAATGCTTGATTTTGACTTCGAGCAGCGTGCTCCTGTGCCGATTGATCAGGTTGAGCCGTGGACAGAGATTGTGCGACGTTTCGTTACCGGTGCTATGTCCTATGGTTCCATCTCGATGGAGGCGCATTCCACACTGGCCGTGGCTATGAACCGACTTGGTGGCAAATCCAATACCGGCGAAGGCGGCGAGGATCCAGAACGAAGTTTGCAGATGGCGAACGGCGATTCCATGCGCTCTGCCATTAAACAGATCGCATCCGGTCGATTTGGCGTCACGTCAAACTACCTAGCCGACGCTGATGAGCTTCAGATCAAGATGGCTCAAGGCGCCAAACCCGGCGAGGGAGGTGAGTTACCTGGTCACAAAGTCTCTGAGCCGATTGCCCGCACTCGACATTCTACTCCCGGTGTCGGTCTCATCTCTCCACCTCCCCACCACGATATCTACTCTATCGAGGATCTGAAGCAGTTGATTTACGATCTCAAGTGCTCCAATCCGCGGTCCAGGGTGTCTGTCAAGTTGGTGTCCGAGGTCGGTGTCGGTATTGTCGCAGCAGGTGTCGCAAAAGCCAAGGCTGACCACATTCTGATCTCTGGTCACGATGGTGGCACTGGCGCTTCAAGGTGGACTGGTATCAAGTATGCCGGCCTTCCGTGGGAACTTGGTCTAGCTGAAACCCACCAAACTCTGGTGCTCAATGATCTACGAGGTCGAGTCATTGTCCAAACCGATGGCCAGCTCCGCACTGGTCGCGATGTTGCAATTGCCTGTCTGCTTGGGGCCGAAGAATGGGGCTTCGCTACAACACCACTGATTTCCATGGGCTGTATTATGATGCGCAAGTGCCAGTATGAACATCCACCCCCTCGATTCTACTACGTGCTAACAGATTTGCAGTTTGAACACCTGTCCGGTTGGTATCGCTACTCAAGACCCTCTCCTTCGAAAGAAGTTTGAGGGTACTCCTGAGCATGTCATCAACTTCTTTTATTACGTCGCGAACGAACTCCGTGCGATCATGGCCCAGCTTGGATTGAGGACGGTCAATGAAATGGTCGGACATGCAGAGCTTTTGAGAGTGCGCGAAGATCTACGAACGGAGAAAACTCAGAATATCGATCTGTCCCTCATTCTCACGCCGGCACATTCTATCCGGCCTGGCGTCGCGACCTACAACGTCCGAAAGCAAGACCACAAACTCCACACTCGCTTGGACAACAAGCTGATTTCCGAATCCGAGCTTGCTCTGGAGAAGGGGCTCCCCTGCCGAATAGAGACTGACATTGTCAACACCGATCGTGCACTAGGTGCCACATTGTCATACCAAATCAGCAAGCGCTATGGTGAAGCCGGTCTCCCTCAGGACACTATTCACGTCAACATCCGAGGCTCTGCCGGTCAATCGTTCGGAGCTTATCTCGCGCCAGGTGTTACTCTCGAATTGGAAGGCGACGCCAATGACTACGTTGGCAAGGGTCTTTCGGGTGGCCGTTTGATCATCTACCCCCCTCGTAGTGCTGTTTTCAAGGCCGAGGAGAATATTTTGATTGGCAACGTCTGTCTCTATGGTGCCACAAGTGGTACGTGCTATTTCAGGGGTGTGGCTGCCGAGCGCTTCGCCGTGCGAAACTCGGGTGCCAATGCCGTTGTCGAAGGTGTGGGCGATCACGGTTGTGAGTACATGACCGGCGGTCGTGTTGTCATTCTGGGCAGCACTGGACGTAACTTCGCCGCTGGAATGTCTGGTGGGATTGCGTATGTTCTCGACATGAACCAAGACTTCCACTCCAAGATCAACATGGAAATGGTGGAAGTGTCGGGTGTCGAAACCCCCGAGGAGATCGCGTTCCTTCGGGGTATGATCGAGGACCATCATCACTACACTGGCTCCGAGTTGGCTGCACGTATCCTACTTGAATTCAATCGAGCGCTCCCGCGCTTCGTCAAAATTCTACCCACGGATTACAAGAGGGTGTTGGCGGAGCAGGCTAAGAAGGCCGAAGAAGCAAAGAAAGCAGAGTACCCTTTGCCGATACTACCAGGCAACCCTGTCCGCAACCTTCATCAAGAACAGCGTGATGCTGCTGCCGAGAAAGAGGCCAAGCAGAAGAAAGCAAACATGCTCGACATCGAGGAAGGCATTAATGGTGATGCAGATCAAGCCAAGCACAAAGCTGCTTTGGTTCTTGACAAGACTCGAGGTTTCATGAAGTATTCTCGCCGGAGCGAGAAATACCGCAACCCGAAGACTCGGGTCAAGGACTGGGCCGAGCTCTCTTCAAGGTTGAACGAAGACGAACTGAAGTATCAATCTGCTCGATGCATGGACTGTGGTGTCCCATTCTGTCAATCAGACACTGGATGTCCAATTTCCAACATCATCCCCAAATGGAACGAGTTGGTATTTTCCGGCGCATGGAAAGATGCCCTCAATCGTCTCCTCATGACCAACAACTTCCCCGAGTTCACCGGTCGGGTTTGCCCTGCTCCGTGTGAAGGAGCTTGTGTCCTGGGGATCAACGAAGATCCGGTTGGTATCAAGAGCATTGAATGCGCCATCATCGACAAAGGATTCGAGATGGGCTGGATGGTACCAAACCCGCCCCAAGAACGGACCGGCAAAAAAGTCGCTGTCATTGGATCGGGTCCAGCAGGTCTCGCTGCAGCTGATCAACTCAATCGTGTTGGGCATAGTGTCACAGTCTACGAAAAGTCCGATCGCGCTGGCGGCTTACTGATGTATGGCATCCCTAACATGAAACTCGACAAACGAATTGTGCAACGACGAGTTGATTTCATGGCCGCTGAGGGTGTTAAATTTGAGACTGGGGTAATGGTTGGTCCTGGGGAGAAGGTCAGTCTTGAGTCTCTGCGCCAGGACAACGACGCGGTGATTATCTCTACCGGTGCCCAAGTTCCTCGTGACCTCAAGATCAAGAATCGAGAAGCTGAAGGTATCCATTTTGCGATGGAATTCTTGCATGCAAACACAAAGTCGTTACTTGATTCTCAGCTGGGTGATGGTCATTACATCTCTGCGAAAGACAAACATGTTATTGTCATCGGTGGCGGAGATACCGGCAATGATTGCATCGGCACGTCCCTTCGACATGGAGCCAAGTCAATTACCAACTTTGAGCTCTTGCCTCAACCTCCTCCGGAACGCGCTCGCGACAACCCGTGGCCCCAGTGGCCGCGAATTTACCGCGTGGACTACGGTCACACAGAAGTCAAGCAACACTACGGACAAGATCCTCGTGAATACTGTGTGATGACGAAGGATTTCGTGGTCGAGGATGGACGTGTCGTGGGCATCAATACGACTCGTGTAGACTGGACAAAGACCGCCACTGGTGGCTGGGACATGAAACCCAGGGAGGGAAGTGAGCAGTACTTCCCAGCGGATCTCGTGCTTCTTTCTATGGGTTTCCTTGGCCCTGACGACCGTCTCTTTGAAAGCCAAGTGGAGCTTGATCCGCGCAAGAACATCAAGACGCCAAAGAACATGTACAACACCAACCTTCCGGGTGTGTTTGCTGCCGGTGACTGCCGACGTGGCCAATCTCTCATTGTGTGGGGTATCAATGAAGGTCGTCAATGTGCTCGACAGGTCGACAGCTTCCTCATGGGCACCGGATCCATCCTTCCCGTTACAGGTGGAATCATCCAACGAGCTGCGCATGACGCTGTCCCCACCCCTGAAGAGTCCAAGGCTCATAAGCATGGCGATATGGCGCATGCTGCCGAAAATTTCAAACGTGGTCCCGAAATAAAAGTCGCTGCATGATTTCTCTAACGGTCGAATCGATGTTAGTGATTGTTTATGAAAGCAGGATGCAGCAGTGAGCATCTAAAATGACATGGGATGGCTTTCTCTATTGTCTTTCACGATTTGGCATGGTAAGCGCGATCGGCCAGTATGCGAGATACCCTGATGAGCGCTTTTCAGATCATGAGATGCGAGATGAAATGACCAATGGAATCTGCAATGGGTCATGCCTTTTGGTTATTACGACCTCTGATGAGTGAGGGTTTTTTGATGCTCCCAGGGTGCAGATATGTATCAGTCGTACTCGAGCCATTTTGGGTTTTTGGGGGGAAACGTGTTTTGGAACAACAAATGGAGAGGTCGAGTGTGATGCACCTTGGAAGATATCAGAAAGAAAAGAGGTGCTGCAGACTGCCAATGGGAATGTATCAATACCAAAGGCCTGTAGATAGCACAACAAAATATATATTTGAAAATCCACCCTTTTTGGGATCATATTTCTGACACATTGACCGCTAGAAAGAGAGAAATATTCCAACATGGTCGGTCTCTCATGGTCGAATTAGCATGACCTAAACAGTCGAGGTTGCACTAGGGATGTTAAAATGACGTTTGCCATGTATGATTGGCCGTAGTTGAGTTATAGTATCATAAGCTTATATCGGCGCTTGCCCTAGATTCTTCGTCATTGAAAACACACCTTAATTGACCAACTGTCTTTATTCCACATCATGTGCTGTGAGGAATCTGTTTAGTTCACAGCATTACAGGAATTGGTTCTTCGTTCGCCTACATACGAGTCTGCAGCTAGGCCGCCGGTCATCAATTATACGTATGGTCCTGAGAAACAAGTGTCTGCGTCGCGACGCGTTTTGATCTACACACCAAGCAACACATTTCACGTCATAACACACAAAAGTCGAGACGAGAGTCGCGGCGAAGGGAGTCATCAAGTGGAAAGAGCCCCATATTCTCGAAAAAAGGCCGATGTCGAACAACCTAGTCGACAACTTTACAACCACTTCAGTCGCCAAAACCCTGAATCCGACTTGACACAATAATTTCACCACAGTTCACCACAATCAATATTGATCACAATGTTCTTTACATCCTCACTCCCCCTACTTCCCCCTCCGCCAGCATCTCTTCTTCCGCCTCTCACTACTACGTTCTCGGGATCCGAGACATCGAATACATCTCATCAACACCAACATCCTCACCAGCATCCATCGTCGTCCCGCCGCCCCAAATCTCACCATGCAAACATCAACAACCGGAACAATACACTTGTCGCGCTATCTGCTGATGAACGAACTATCTCCCAACGGAAAATGGCCATCGCCATGTACGGTTATAGCTGGCTCAAGCCGGCTGGATGTGCCAAGACGATGCTCGGGAGACGGGAGGAAGAGGTCGAAAGGGAGGAAGTCGAAAGGCAATTGAGAGAGGTCGAACTCCAAGAGCGGCAAGCTCAGGAAACGGAGGAGCAGGAAAGACTGGCGAGGCTGAACGAGGCGGGAGAGGGTGAAGTGGATGAAGGGGAGAGGGACTTAGACGAAGATATCCCCGACGCTGATGAGGCGGACTTGGATGGAGAGGAAGATGAAGAAAGTGAGGAGGATGTTGACCATGGAATTGATGAAGGCGAAGATGACGAGGCTTTACAAGTCGATCTCGATGATGAGATTCCCGATGCGGATGACCAGGACGACGACGACGACGACGACGACGTTGAACCCATGTCGCCTGATCCTGTTGGGGCGGACGGAAACTGGGTCTACGATACCCGTCGAGAGCCGGACACTGACGACGAAGAACAGTTACCCCACCCACCTGCAACCAGTCGCCATCCTCCTGGTCGTCTTGCGATGGGAAGGGATGGTATGCACGCAACAGTCGCAGGTGTGCGTCTCCCACTTTCAGGAAGTGATTATGGCTATGATGAACGGGATGCTGAGGACTTGACGGACTCTATGCTCGATCAGGATGAGGTATTTGATGACCACGCTATTGAAAGTAGCAACGCCGCCATCGCCGAGCATGACCTAGACGAAGATGTTCCTGAAGCAGAAGATGACCAGATGTGGGAACATACGGACACAGAACTCGAGGAGAGTGAGATGGACATATCCGTCCTTCCTGGTCAAAGTGAAGGCCCTGGGACCACTGCAATGGCCCAAACTCAGAATCTACGCCCTCCTCCCAGTTCTGACCGCATCTCGATGCCGCGCAGCTCTGGCCCATGGATCACAGGACCTTCCCCTTCGCCCCAGACACATGGACAGATAATCACTCGGCGTGGAGTGCATGCCAGGCCTACTCCCGATGCTGCCATACGCGCCGCCAGGATCGTGTCTGGGAACCGTCAACGCCATTACCATCATGGACTCCCGAATACGCGGCATCAACTCAACCACACACCAGCGATTCTGGATAGCCCGCTTGACGTTAATGAGGAAGAAGTCGACACCGACTTGGAACTGGATACACCGGATCCGTTTGCTGCCCCTAGAAATTTGAGGGGAGGGGCTGCCGGCGGAACGACGGGACAAGAGATTACACCCGGGGACGGCGCTGCCCGACCGGAAATAGATGATAACAATAATCGAAGCCCAAGTCGCGCCGCCGCGGCACGTAACTGGCTTGACGGTGCAGCAGCAGCAGTTGTTGGTGGGAGCGGAAGTGCCCGGAGAACATTATTTCAGCGTGCGACGAGGAGAAGAAACAATATCGACACTGGCACGACGGCAGCTGCTCCTGGCACCGCACAGACTCTCCCCGGCGGTACCTCAAGTGGCGGGCTGTTCACCCCATCTCCCCATACTCAAGTCGCCGGCTCTGGCCGAGCGCAGGACCGACCAGGGGGAGCAGCACTGGATTGGGACACGCCTGTGAATGCGAACTCAAATGCGAGTGGGGGTGAAGGATTGTCAGGTCAAGGACAAGACCAGCGAGGAAGGGGAAGACGCACTGGACGGTTTCTGGGGTCACGGAGACGGGCAGAATGAATCCCCAAGAAGGGCTGTCCTGGCATGGCGTCTTGTTGTTCAAGAGTACTATGAGTCAAATATGGCCGACATGTCAGGATATTGATTTGACTGTCTTTCTCGCGAGAGGCTCTCTGGTCCCCACACTGTCTGTGGTTTATAGGCCTGAAGAAGAGCTTGCTGAAAGGAGAGAAGACCCTATCCGCTTCTATCTCCATCTCCATCTCCACCAACGGATACCTTTGAGGACAAACAGATAGATCCCTTCCAAGGGTTCTCACTCTCTCCAACTCAACTCGTATTACATTACATTAATTACAGAATTGCAGAGTCACAGCAATTCACCGGGCGATTGCCGGACCACAAAGCACTTTGCAGAACGCGAACGCACTTGGCTAGCTCTCCTAGCAATATCACATCACATGACATCACGAGCAGGAGCACGAACACGTCGAGGATTCATCTATCCATCCATTCAATCTCGTTCAAAAAGGTCCAAGAAAACAGTCATATTCACACACTCTCCTTTTTCCTCTCTTGTGGTGCCTGCCCCTACCTGCCGTTATTTGCCCTGCTGCGCTGCGTGGAATCCCTTGTGTTTACAAAAAAAGAAAACAAAATAGACATTCATTTGCTCCATCCAGGAAAACGCCTTGCTCGCTCTGGGACACTTGGTCATGTAATGAAACCGAAACCAGTTTTGGTACTCTTTTGGGGGGTAAGGGGTGGAAGGACGAGGTTTTCGGACAAGAGTGAGAAATGTGAGGGGTGTGTTATGTGCTGCTTTGAGGTTCGGAGAGGCTGTGGGTTGTGTGGGGATGGCAGCCACAGAAGTCGACTCTGGTTGAAGGTGGTGTGGATTTGAGAGATTGAATGAGAGAGGGAGTGAGAGGGAGCCAGGTGGTGTTGTTCTCGAAAGGAATCGTGTCGCATGGTGCCTTGTAGCTGTATTGTCCATGGTATGATTCTGGGCAGACTCAAGCATCTTCTGGTTCGAGGTGAATCAGCACTGCTGCAGAAGCCCTTCCATCGACTCAATCGCCCACGTCCAGGTCCGATCCAATCAAGGTACTTCTGTACAATGTCTCAGCGCAACATGAACCCTCGCTTGATTGCAAGGTCTTCTTTTAGCTTCTCTCCCATGCCCTCAGTCGCGAGCTTCCCACTCAGAATAGCCACACGTAGGCAAACAGAGCCCACACGGCGATGAAAAACAACACCCACACTCTCCAACCCACCCCGGTCCGCTCTGCCATGCGCAGCATCCTCCTCATCGTACCCCGTAACCTGACGCCCGTATTCTCAAAGGTATCATTAATCGACTGCGCAAGTTGGGACGAGTCGCGGATTTCGTCGCCGATGGCGACTGTGAGGGACTTTAGCTGCGACACCTTTTGGCTCAGGAGTGTGGTCTGGGTGATTTCATTCTGAGACTCGAGTTCTTCCAGAACCGAGGCGGAATATTGTCCCTTGGAGTTGGGCGTCGCGGGTCGGAACCCCGAAGACGGCCTCTGCGGCGTGCTGTGGCCATTTGTGGAGGAGTACGGTGTCAGGTACGGTGAAGAGGAATTCGCTGGTTGTGAGGTCGGATAGGCATAGCTGCTGGGCCTCTGCCCGGAGGATGAGGAGGATGGGCGCGAGCCGGGGTAGTCTTGAAAGAGGGCCGACGAGGCTGGGGCGGCGCGCCGATTTAACGACGAGTAGCGGTTCCTGTGCGCGTAAAATATGTTAGTTTTTTACCTTGAATTCAAATCGTCTTGTGACAAATCTGGGAACGGGGCGAAAAAAACGTACGTTGACATGCTGGACGGGTTCTGTCGCAGGGAAATGTTCGTAAAAGGACCAGGCGGATCGGCAGTGGGCACTGTACTCTTTGTTCTTCAGGCCATCTTTTTGTTCAGTATCCGGAGGTCGTGCCACAGGTAGAAATTCACACCACTCTGTCTACAATTTTGACAGAAGTGTCCAGTTTGCCTAAGACGTTAAAGTGATCTTGTGTCTGGCGCTGGTGAAAGAACAAATGTTCTGGGCTTGAGGATGACGCGGGTGGCGGAAACACCCGGCCGGATTCATTGCATGAGTTGATTAAAAAGTCTACCGTACAGTACATACTATGTGCTCGGCCTCGTCGACTTTTGTCCCTTCTGTCCGCAACATCCTTCATGCCATTCACCTTGCTCATGGAACACTCAGATTCCTGAAAGCGAATCCACTGTCTCCCAGCGGGTCATCCTTTTCCACGGAGAAGGTGCTGAATCCAGTGTAGTAAGCTTGGCCCTCGACCTTGACTCTCACTTCCATGTCTTCAGAAGTTGCCGATGGTTCATCGGGTTGACCGACCATATTTCGCTCCAAAACCGTCCCGATAAACGGCGGACCGATCCCGAGCTTGGAAACCAAAGAATGATATGCCCACGACTCGTTTGCTTTGCGAGTCCCGTCACGATACGCCAGTGCTGCACGAGCGGCCACTCCACTTCCAGTTGGGGAGCGGTCGATTTCTTCGGCAGCAAAATAGCATACGCCCAGCTCAGATCCGGACACGGATTCGTTCTGTGCCTCCATGTGGTCAGTGACAATCACTCCATACAGAAAGGACATCTCCGGCTCAGCTCTATGCTCATAGTAGCGTGAGAGAGATGCGTTGTCCAGTATTGCTGATTTAAGACCCCGCGAAGCACGATTCAATGCTTCAAGGTCGACTGCTCTAAGGCCATTAGCAAATCCTAGCTCCACAGCCGCAACAATACAATAAAACGCTCCACCGTACGCAAAGCTCGCGCGTACTTCGGTCCTGTCTTCTTGGAGCTCGGACCACCGTAGATGTGCGGGTACAGGAATTGTGATATTGATACCCTTTGCAAAGGAAGGGACGGAAACGAAGGAGACAGGGCGTTGAGGGTCAGATGCCGATCCATCTTCATTCGTCGGCACAGTCACCTCAACGAGCCCACATGGGGCATGGAGGTTTATGACTGCATAACGGGTGTGAGGATCGTACTTTATCTCATTTCTTCTCGGGAATATAGCGAGGTCGTGTGTGTCGACGAGAAACCGTCCCAGCGCAATGGTCGCGTGACCACACATTGTAGAGTAGCCGTCGTTAGTCATGAAGAGAACACCCATGTCGGCCTTGCCGCTCGTGGTGAGCTCCGTTTGTGGGCGAAGTATTGCACCGTACATGTCATAGTGCCCGCGAGGCTCCAGCAAGACTCGCTGCCGGAGGGAGTCATATTTGGTCTTTGCTTCCGCACGCTGTTCCAGCAGCGTCCCATGGAGATTAGGATATCCGTCAATGACGATTCGTGTAGGTTCGCCACAAGTATGCATCTCAATACAAGAGATTGGTCTGTTTACCGGCTGCAAGAGTAGTTGCTTGATGTCCATGGTTAATGGTGAACCGGGGTTCCAATTTGAGTGATGGAGCTGAGTGGCTTGCCAGACAATCAAAGTACTTCAACGACGGCAACTGTACGAAATCGTCCCGGGAAGAGGATAAATACCGGTTGCTCTACGTGGAATTGTGTAGAGTCACATTGGGGAAATGACGCGCCTTGAGACATGTCAGAACGGGGTAAGGCTGAGATACAGCCTTGCGTGAAGGGGCTACGGTGGACCATGCATCGAGTCGCGCGTCTGCGCCTTCCACAACGCGTTGAACAACTAAACGGTGGTTGATCTTTGGACGCTGCAAACTTGACTTTACACTATACTGTTGTATACACCCGAAGTTCGCTGGTCGTCTCATTGCCTTGCTTTAGTGCCTCGAGCACGTATAACAACCTTATGCTCCAGATGTATCCCAGCACAGCATGGTTGCACCACGACAAAACGAAAGTTTCGGCTCGGTGGGCGAACTCGATGGTGAAGTAGTATCGGAGTTGAGGGACAGGTTGACAGAAGTCACTATAAAATGCTCGGAGCGATGTTTGTATCAATCGGCAAAATGGTGAGCAAGAAGAAGAAGAAGAACCTGGAAACCCAGTCACTGACCGCTGTATTAGGGCAGCGGAGCTTCTCGATTCTCTTCCGGAAGACGACGATACGTTTGATGACGCTCCTATGCAAGACGCGAATAATGTCCAGTCTTCGTATCGACTGTTCTCGACCACTTACGATGACCCTGAAGAGGCGGCATTAGAGGCCAAGGAGGCACCGAAATATCTGTTAGCGAAAGCATTCTTCGACACCAAAGAGTTTGATAGATGCTCGGCGGTGTTTCTACCGCCAGCAATCCCAGCCGGAGGTCTAGCGATCTTCGACAAGCCCAGAAAGCGGACACCTACATCCACTCCGTCCCGGACGAAAGGGAAATCAAAAGAGAGTGGTACAACAACCACTACCAGCCCGTTCCCCCGGCTCAGTCAACGGTCTCTGTTTCTTGCCCTCTATGCACGGTATCTTGCTGGAGAGAAGCGCAAAGACGAAGAAAGCGAGATGGTTCTCGGTCCAGCCGATGGTGGACAAACGATCAATCGGGAGCTTCCCGCATTGGCAAGAGGACTGGAAGCGTACTTCAAAGTCCGAGATGCTGCAGATCCACAACTCAAGCGGTCTCAAGGATGGCTCGAATACCTGTACGGTACCGTCCTGGCCAAGTCGAGACAAGAACAACTCGCACAGCAATGGCTCCTCCGTTCTGTACGACTCAATCCCTATCACTGGGGTGCGTGGGAGGAGTTGGCCACGCTTCTCTCGTCGATTGACGACCTCAATTCCCAACTCTCCCCTTCCGTCCTCCCTCAAAACCTGATGAGCATCATGTACCAAGCATACGCCTCTGTTGACTTGTTCTCGACCAGCGATCAATCCACGACGTTGAACTACCTTCGGATTCTCCTGAACTACTTTCCAACCTCCACATTCTTACTTACGCAACTTGCTCTCAGCCATTACCACGCCAAAGAATACGAGTCCTCCGCATCCATATTTCAAGATTTGCTGGTGGCCCACCCTCATCGTCTTGATGGACTCGACCACTACTCCAACATATTGTATGTGATGGCGGATCGACCTAAACT